TGGCTTGATGCGCCATTCCCTTGGCACGTTTCTCGATTTGGCCCTCCATTCGTGCCTCTTCAAATTCTACAGCACTGCTGGTCACAGCTGACCTCCAACTGGAGCACTCAAGGGCCAAGACTTCCCAGTTCTCAGTGTCTATGCCACAGTTTTTAAGATTGGCTTTGAGCCATAGCTGATGTAAATATTGTGTTGTCAAAGGCTCTCATGGCCGGAATCACTGTGTTGCTGTGAGTTTTCCTGGCTGCATGGCCATGTTCCCGAAGCATTATCTCGAAATGTTTCACCCACATCTATAGCAGGCATCTTCAGAGGTTGAGAGGTCTGTTGGAAACTAGGCAAGTGAGGTTTATATATCTGGCATAGACACCGAGAACTGGGAAGCCCTGGCCCTTGAGCGCTCTTGCTGGAGGTCAGCTGTGACAAGCAGTGCTGTAGAATTTGAAGAGGCACGAATGGAGGGTCAAATTGAGAAACGAATCCCCATCAGGGAGATGGTGGCGTTATAGAAATAAAGATTATTATTATTATTATTATTATTATTATTATTATTATTATTGTTAGGTTACAGCTGTTCATCCAGCTGTTACGTGATGCTAAACCGGATGCTAAACCGTGACAGCCTTTCTGTGGGTTCTTAAACATACTTCCTGGAAACTTACGAGTTCCACAAGAGGTTATAATTGAAAAAAAAGCTATAGATATGGCAAACGTACGTTGTGGTTGCAGAGACTTGCAAATTATTTCAAGGGCACTTCCAGCCTGAAAAGGTTGAGAACAACTGTCTTACTCTACGCAGCAGAATCCTTCCCTGTTTACCATGTTAGTATGATTTGCCTATATGAGGGCTACAGCATGCCGTTTAGAGGAAATATACTTTTCTCTGCGAGATCAATATCAGATGGAAACTTGATGGCTTCAAATTTGAAAGAGAACAATTGTCTTTTGCATTGCAAATGCATCGAGTTTGAATATGCATTGCCAAGGAAAATGAGGTCGAACTTAGATGCACTTCTGCTATGAGTAGGGAAATAAATTTCCTTCATGTCGAGTAGGATGTTTAATATTGGTTTTATTGTGTAACTGCAATATAAAGTAAAAATTGATTAAGGTATATGACAAAAACATAGATTTAAAAAAAATGAACTCAAAAATATATTATCCACTAGCTGTCCCCTGCCACGCATTGCTGTGGCCCAGTCTGTTGATTTGGAAAATAAAATAATGAGAAAGTGTTGGTTTCTAATATATGTAATTTCTTTATGCTTGTGGGTAAACAGGATTTCTTGCTGTTTCTTTGTCAGTGTTGATGTGTGGAGAGTGTCTGGTTTGCCCACCCTGGAACATGCAACATATAATTGTCCTTCTTCAGGGGTCCCTTTCAAATTTATGATACTATATCTCTCTGTGTGTGTGAATTATATCTTTCTCTATATATGGCTGGATGGCTCTTTGTCAGGAGGGCTTTGATTATGTTTTCTTGCCCTGGTGAAGGGAGTTGGACTGGATGGCCTTGAGTATTTTCTGTTGTCATGGGGCTTCTGTGTGGGAAGTTTGGCCCAATTCTGTCGTTTGTGGGGTTCAGAACACTCTTTGATTGTAGGTGAACTATAAATCCCAGTAACTACAACTCCCAAATGTCAATGTCTATTTCCGCCAAACCCCATCTGTGTTCATATTTGGGCATATGGAATATTCGTGCCAAGTTTGGTCCTGATCCATCATTGTTTGAGTCCATAGTAGTCTCTGGATGTAGGTGAACTACAACTCCCGAATTCAAGGACAATGCTCACCAAACCTTTCTAGTGTTTTCTGTTGGTCACGGGAGTCCTGTATGCCGCGGTTGGTTCAATTCTATCATGCTATTTGATTGTAGCTGAACTATAAATCCCAGCAACTACAACTCCCTATCTATCTATCTATCTATCTATCTATCTATCTATCTATCTATCTATCTATCTATCTATCTATATCTATGGCTGGATGGCTCTTTGTCAGGAGGACTTTGATTACATTTTCTTGCCCCGATGAAGTGAGTTGGATTGGATGGCCTTAAGTATTTTCTGTTGGTCATGGGGGTTCTGTGTGCGAAGTTTGCCCTGATTCTGTCGTTCATGGAGTTCAGAATGCTCTTTGATTGTAGGTGAATTGTGAAACCCAGTGACTACAACTCCCAAATGTTAAGGTCTACACTCAGAGTATGGGCACCACCAGGTTTTCTCATTGGCTAAGAGAAAAATGTATCATCGAAGGCTTTCATGGCCGGAATCACTGGGTTGTTGTAGGTTTTTTGGGGCTATATGGCCATGTTCTAAAGGCATTTTCTCCTGACGCTCCGCCTGCATCTATGGCAAGCATCCTCAGAGGTAGTGAGGTCTGTTAGAACTAGGAAAAAGGGTTTATATATCTGTGGAATGACCAGGGTGAGACAAAGGACTCTTGTCTGCTGGAGCTAGGTGTGAATGTTTCAACTGACCACCTTGATTAGCATTTGATTGCTGGCAGTGCCTGGAGCAATCTTTTGTTGAGAGGTGATTAGATGTCCTTGTTTGTTTCCTCTCTGTTGTTGTGCTGTTCTAATTTTGGAGTTTTTTAATACTGGTAGGAAACCATGAAAATGAACAAAATCTGGCTACCAGTATTAAAAAACTCTAAAATTAGAACAGCACAACAACAGAGAGGAAACAAACAAGGACATCTAATCACCTCTCAACAAAAGATTGCTCCAGGCACTGCAGGCAATCAAATGCTAATCAAGGTGGTCAGTTGAAACATTCACACCTAGCTCCAGCAGACAAGAGTCCCCTGTGCAATAAAGTCCTGAGAGAAAAACTGTCAAGTTTTACAATGTATTGTAATGTAATATAGCTGAGTCATGCACTGCTAATAGGCTTCTATTGGAAATGCTGAGTCATGCATTAACTGTATATAGAACTTCATTTGGGGAATGTGTTCTGGCCTAGTCCAGGTGATTGTGAATGATGTAATCCTGGGTCTGAGTTAAGTCAATGAGTTGGGAACCAATCAGAGATTGCTATGTGTAATGTATAGAATTGTATATAAGGAAGTCATGTACAGTGTATTTTCTCTCCTTGTGCTGTGATGCTGTTCATTGAAGGCTCTATGTAATTGATTAAAAGAACCTGTCTGCTAAGACAAGATATAACTGTGTGCTGTGGTAAGTTTGTAATGTCATCTAGACTGGGGGAAAACAATAGTAAAACTGACAATGGCCGGGCATGTGCTCAAGTGTCTGTAAAGAGTTCCAGAGTGACTGCAGTTTGTGGGAGCAGTTGACTGAAAATACTGTGCAGGAAGAAGCTACTGGAAAGCGCTGAAGTTGTGCAACTGATCTGCTGCTGAATTGTGAAATTAATCTCAATCCTAGTTCCAACAGACCTCACTACCTCTGAGAATGTTTGCCATAGATGCAGGCGAAATGTCAGGAGAAAATGCCTTTAGAACATGGCCATATAGCCCGAAAAAACCGACAACAACTCACAGAGAGAAAAACTTCAACTCCCATCATGCTCCGAGGGGAACTTTCAATGGCTACCCTATGCTAGTGCCACTGGGAAAGCGAGTTCTAAGGGCCCTCTCTGGAGGAGGAGATAACTTTCCAAGAAAAACAAATGGAGGAGGCTTCTTCTGCCAGGGAGAGAAAAAGATACTGCAGATCCCAATTCCTTGGGTATTTTGTGGACTTAACTCTTTTTGAAAATATTGTCTCACTGAATTGTCGAAGGCTTTCATGGCCGGGATCACTGGGTTGTTGTAGGTTTTTCCGGGCTATATGGCCATGTTCTGGAGGCAATTTTTTTCCTGACGTTTCGCCTGCATCTACGGCAAGCATCCTCAGAGGTAGTGAGGTCTGTTGGAAGTAGGAAACATGGGTTTATATATCTGTGGAATGACCAGGGTAATGTTTCAGCTGATCATCTTGATTTGCATTCAATGGCCTGGAAGCGCCTGGGGGGAATCTCTTGTTGAGAGTGAATTGATGTGCCTGATTGTTTACTCTCTGTTGTTTTGCTGTTGTAATTTTTGAGTTTTTTTTAATACTGGTAGCCAGATTTTGTTCATTTTCATGGTTTCCTCCTTTCTGTTGAAATTGTCCACATGCTTGTGGATTTCAATGGCTTCTCTGTGTAGTCTGACATGGTGGTTGTGAGAGTGGTCCAGCACTTCTGTGTTCTCAAATAATATGCTGTATCCAGGTTGGTTCATCAGGTGCTCTGCTATGGCTGATTTCTCTGGTTGGAGTAGTTTGCAGTGCCTTTCATGTTCCTTGATGCGTGTCTGGGCGCTGCGTTTGGTGGTCCCTATGTAGACTTGTCCACAGCTGCATGGTACACGGTAGACTCCTGCAGAGGTGAGAGGATCCCTCTTGTCCTTTGCTGAACGTAGCATTTGTTGGATTTTCTTGGTGGGTCTGTAAGTGGTGTGTATGTTGTGTTTCCTCATCAGCTTCCCTATGAGGAAACCATGAAGATGAACAAAATCTGGCTACCAGTATTAAAAAAACTCAAAAATTACAACATCAAAACAACAGAGAGTAAACAATCAGGCACATCAATTCACTCTCAACAAGAGATTCTCCCCAGGCACTTCCAGGCCATTGAATGCAAATCAAGGTGATCAGCTGAAACATTACCCTGGTCATTCCACAGATATATAAACCCATTTTTCCTACTTCCAACAGACCTCACTACCTCTGAGGATGCTTGCCATAGATGCAGGCGAAACGTCAGAAAAAAATTGCCTCCAGAACATGGCCATATAACCCGGAAAAACCTACAACAACCCATTGTCTCACTGAATCCGTTTCGCTGGTCTTTTTGCCTTTCTCTTCCCCTTTCTGTTTTTGGAAATTAAACAAAAACAGCCATCTGAAAACGTTTCGTTAACAGTTATTCGGTATTTAACAGTGATTCGTTAACAGTGATTCGGTAAGTTTACTAGAGAGGCCTCCAATAAAAAAAAAGTATTAATCAGGCACATCTGTTAAATATGTTTAATTTTTTTTAAAATAACTGATGGCAAAATAAATTATTTACATCACATCATACTGTGTAAACACACAACATCACTGTACAAAGAAATATACATGCAAAATAAAGCAAAACCTCCCAACTAAAATATGAAATGAAATTGTAATTCACAAGCAAAAAAAAAAGTTATGGTTGGTATGAATACACATTCATCCAGTTTTGATTTTTAATTCTTGTTTAAAAAGTTTCTGTACAACTTTACAAAAAACAAACACAAAGAAGAAATAAATAGATTACAACAGAAATTGCAAATAGTGAAATTAAAACCCAAGCCAGGTCAGGGCTTAAGACCACTGCAATGTCTACTTCATATGGGATTCAGGCTTGGTTTCTTTCAACAGGGATTACACATGAAGAGAAACATGGATGACTAAACATCCATGTCAGGCTTGCCAATGCACAGAAAACCATCAATATCTTAATATTCCACATATTTTAAACGTTTTATAAACCATTTTTAAAAAAAACAAGAGACAGTTATCGTATGTCAACTTCTGGTCTTAGTTATGACCACTACTGCTTGACAGTATTTTCTTCAAAGAGCAGAAAATTCATTCATTTATTGTACAGAAAGCAAAAGACAAAATTTAAAGTTCTAAAAAGTCGAGATTGATTTTGGGGGGAAAAATAATACTTTGGCATTTTTAACAACAACAACAACAACAACCAAAACAAACACACTTCTTGAAAAAACTTCACTCTATTTTTTTTCTCTTATCCAGTTTGCATTTCAGGAGATGAAAATAATTTTACAATCGGAAAACCAGCTTGACTTTTGACTCAAATCCCAAGCTAAGGCTCAAGTTCAACTAGTTCAATGACACAGTGAGAAACCCACCCGCTCCCCTACCCACCCTTGGAAATTCCAAACACAAATGAAGTCATAAAGCTCACCATACTATGAATGTGCTTTTTTTTCTATATATTTATTACAGTTACAACAGAGGTCCTCATAAATAGTTGCATAAAATGTTAAAGCCACAACATTGCACATGATATGAAATTAAAACAAAACAAAAACAAAAAACAAAACAAAATCCCAAAGTGAGTGCATTTAGAGTATTTTCTTCTGCTGTATACTGCCTGACAATAAAGGTTGGCCTATTGGACACCAAACCCAGGAGTTCTTTTCTGATAGGTCAAACCAAAGCTGACCTGAACTAAAGACCCGCACAGTGGTATACCACCATTTAGGGGGAGGGAAAAGGAAGAAGAGAGGAGGGGGGAAATCGAAGAGACACAGACTGAAGGCAGGTAACCGTCTATTTACAAGTAAGGCCTACATTTTATCAGAGCAAAATGGTTCATTCTATTTGTATGCAAAAATCTTGAGGTTGGATGCACTTCTAAGCAGAGTCCGATCTCAGTGCACTGCTATGCAAGATAGACACAGGCGAGGCAACTGGAAAGCTCTATGTCCAAGTCCAAGGAAATAAAAGAAAATAAAAATCAGACGTTCCAAAATGGACACCCTCTCCGCGGGCAGCCATTTTGTTGTCTTTCCATGTCAGTGTCTGTATCTCGTCTCTTAATACCAGTGCTTTGAACATAGGTGTATTTCCTTTGTCTAAAATCTTGAAAATGCTAGTTAAGATCATTTGCAAAATTTCAATTCTGGTTTGACATTTTGTTTAAAAAAGATTTTTTTTTTTTGCAGAAACCTGAATAAAATACTGTAGTAAGTGTAAAGTTCTTCATTTTGCAGAGTACAATGTTGTAGTCCTCCACCCCAACATAGGTTCGCACTGCTAGTCCCAAGTACAACCGTGCGTAGATTTACTTGGAATGCATTTCCACACGATGAACATGCTAGCAGCTGATTGGCTTTTGTTTGTTTGTTTTCTTCACCCCAAATTCGAGTCAACAGCTGATTGGCAGGAGAGCTTCATCCTCACTTTCAGTGACAGGTGAAAGAGAATGAGAGAGAACATCAAAGATAAGTTAAATTTTTGGCAAGAGCCTGCTCTGTAAGAAGTTTTTAATGCTACGAATGGGTCGAACATCGTTCTGGTGTTTTCGCCGCTCAATGAATGAAGTCAGTCTGGCTATGTCAATGCTGTCAGCACTTTTGGCACTGCCTGGCTGCAGCCATTGCTCTTGGAGGGCCAGTGCAGCAGAAGGACGCTTGGCTGGGTCATCCTGCAATAGGAAACATACAAAATCTTTGGCCTTTTGGCTTACTCCTCTGAAGTAGTCATCTGGGAAGCTAAAGTCTAAGCGACAAATGTTCAGGCAGGTTTCCTCTACACTTTCATCCAGGAAAGGAGACACGCCACTAAGGAGGACGTATGTGAGCACGCCAATGCTCCACACATCTGAGGTCAGGGAGACGGGATTTCCAAGGATAATTTCAGGAGCTGCAAACTCTGGGTTCCCAAGTAACTGGTGGATGTAGTAGGTGGTGTTGAGCTGGACAGCATCTCCAAAGTCAGCCAGTCTGATTGTCGCTTTGGCCATGCTCTTATCCACCAGAATGTTTTCAGGCTGGAAACAGAAGAAGGAGAGTTTCACTGTCATTGTCCAGCAGGCACCAAACAGAAAAAGAAGCAGCATTTGTTTCTCAAACAACAACAACAACAACAACAACTTTATTTTTTGTATCCCGCCTCCATCTCCCCGAAGGGACTTGGGGTGGCTTACATATGGCGGAAAGTGTCTAAAACAGAGCATAAAAATAAACACACAACAGCATACAATAAAGTAAAACATATAAATAAAAATGTAATGTTCGTTTGTGGGATTAACACAACTATATATATATGTTGTGTCAGGAGTGACTTGAGAAACTGTAAATCGCTTCTGGTGTGAGAGAATTGGCCGTCTGCGAGGACGTTGCCCAAGGGACGCCCGGATGATTTGATGTTTTTATCATCCTTGGGAGGCTTCTCCCATGTCCCCGCATGAGGAGCTGGACCTGATAGAGGGAGCTCATCCACCTCTCCCTGGATTAGAACCTGCGACCTGTCGGTCTTCAGTCCTGCTGGCATAGGGGTTTAACCCACTGCGCCACCGCCATTTTGTGTTATGAAATCCAGCAATAATAATAATAATAATAATAATAATAATTCAACAGCCAGCAGAGTGTCTGCTGTGGACTTGTCTTGTTGTGTTTCAAATAATAATAATAATAATAATAATAATAATAATAATAATAATAATAATGGATCACAAATCTCTTATGTCCATGTCCTATTTTCCCCAAGTACCCAGAATTCTGTGAACCTGTGTTGTCCAACAGAGAACTGTTACACTGGATCACTTTTTGAATATCCTGATTTTTCTCATTACAAAGGAAAATGAAGTGCCCTAATAATTTTACATGTTGTAAAGATCAAGATATGGAATACAGAAAGCAAAATAAATATCTATTTGTGTGCCTGCAAACAAGATTCTTGCTTGAGCTTTCATATGGCTGTGTGATTGTATCTCAGGTGTTATTCAGAAATATGTTGTGTTCACACAGCCTCTCACAGTAGGTACAGTCTCAATATAGTAAAAGGATGGGATTAATACACTTCTCCATTCCAAACATAAAAACAGGAATCTGCTAGTTGGGTTTTGCTAAATACTCCAAAGCATGTGCTGTTATCAGGGATTGGTATTGACTGTAACTGAGGAAGAATAAACTGTTACTCTGTTCACCTTTAGGTCCAAGTGCACTATTCTGCAATTGTGAAGATACTGCACAGCTTCCAGAATCTCTCCCAGATACAGCTTGATCTTTCCTTCAGTGAGGTTTCCCCACTGCACAACGTAGTCCAGAAGTCGACCTTGGTTAGCCCTGTGACAACAGAAGCATCAGGTTAAAAACAAATTTGACTGTCCATATTTCAGAGGGAATGAAAGATTGTATTCTAATACTGGGAAAAACCCTCAATTAACATCTCTCTAATATGGTTTTCAATAAAGCTGCTTTATTAAGAGTGTCCATTACTCTTCAGAAACTGTGGCTCAGTTAGCTCTCTTGGCCCATTATACTGGTGAAGAGATATAATAATAATAAAAACAACAACATCAACAACAATTTCATTTCTTACCTGCCTCTCCCTGCCCGAGGCAGGTTACAGCATAATTAAAACACAGAAACATTGTAAAAAATATCTATAAATACACATATTAAAATGTATTTATACAAAAATATATATTAAAACATATATCTATAAAATACATATTAAAATACACAGAAGAGATTAAACACACTACAGGGAAGCAGGTTCGTAGCACGTCAAATATAGGCTGTCCTTATTATGGTAAAATGTGTCTTAGTAAAGGTAAAGGTTTTCCCCTGACATTAAGTCCAGTCGTGTCCGACTCTGGAGGGTGGTGCTCATCTTCATTTGTAAGTTGAAGAGCCGGCATTGTCCGTAGACACCTCCAAGGTCATGTGGTCGGCATGACTGCATGGAGCACCATTACCTTCCCATTGGAGCGGTACCTATTGATCTACTCACATTTGTATGTTTTTGAACTGCTAGGTTAGCAGAAGCTGGGGCCAACAGCAGGAGTTCACTCCACTCCCTGGATTCAAACCTGCGAACTTTCGGTAAGCAAGTTCAGCAGCTTAGTGGTTTAAACCACTGCGCCACTGGGGGCTCCAAATGTGGCTTACTACATCCTAAACAGGACAAGATTAGCCTAAAATACGTTGTTACCCAGTGCTTTCCCTTGCCAATGCTAAAGTTTGTTGGACACCTTGCACAACAATTTGTGCCTACATCTCACCCTCCATCATCAAGTCACTTGAAGCATGCTTTCCCCCTCTTTTATGTTTTTTGCTCCATGGTAGAGCTATATCTGGAAGAGTAGAAGGGAGCAGCAGAAACCTAACACTTTAAAACTTAAACCAACTAACCCAGTGGTTCTCAACCTGGGGTCCCCAGATGTTTTTGGCATACAACTCCCAGAAATCCCAGCCAGTTTACCAGCTGTTAGGATTTCTGGGAGTTGAAGGCCAAAAACATCTGGGGACACCAGGTTGAGAACCACTGAACTAACCAATCTATCACACCACAAAAATCTCATTATAAACTGAGTCCTATAATTGGTCTGTGGCTACAGAGAGCAAAGTATTTGATTTTCAACTAAAGGACAATACTTGGATGAATCTCTTTCATTACATACTGATTACTTTCATTAAAAACTAGTAGGCGTGTGATGAAAGAAATAGAAGAACGCAGTGATATGTCTTACACAAGCTGTGTCTAAGGAAAGGATCCCAGGAAGGATGCTTCCTTGACCCCGTTCTTCAAACTAAGGCTCCCTTGAAAAGAAGACAGGAAAGGGTCCCAGGATGGGTGCTCCCTTAACCCCATTGCCCAAATCCAGGCTCCCTTGAAAGGAAGAAAGGAAAGCATCCCAGTAACAGAAAGGGGAGCCTCATAAGTTCCCCAGTCCTGTCAATGGGCAGATCTTCCCGGATCTTTCAGCTGTGGACTGGAAACGGCTATTTGACAACCTGCCTGTTTCTGGGAGGCACACAAAAACGTATCTATGGGCCTCCTGGAATTCGGCCAGCAGAAACAGGATTGAGGTTCAGCCAAAATGCACAAGCCTAACAACTAGCATATATCTTTTTTTTAATAAATATTTTTTTTTTAGTTTGGGATTCAAAACAATTCTAATTATAAACATACAGATAACCAGTACACAAAAAAGAGAAAAAAGGGAAAAGGTTTTTTTAAAAGTTACAATTTGACTTCCCAATCTACTTCTTGGTGGTGGTCACAAAGTATAAAGTACTTCCCCTTAACCTTTGATCTTTGTTTTCCTTTGTCTTTCCCCTACTTACATATAATATTCTTTCCCAAACAGTAAAATTCTTATAAAAACACACAAAAAGACATATTTCCCTTAATTATATCAATATTCTCATTTTTCTTTTCTAAAATATTCTTTTACTATTGCCAGTCTATTTGAGTTTTCTTTCTTCCTGTTGCATTGTCATCAAGTAAGTCAGTCTGTTCATATTCATAATTTCCATCAATTTCAAAGACAATTGGTCCACTGTAGGCATCTCTTGGTTTCTCCAACACCTGGCATATGCTATTCTTGCGTATATCTATGGGGTATATCTACGGGGTTGCCCGGGTGTTGGCGGGGCCATTGTCCCCCTTTCATCCCTCCTTTCTCTTTCCCTTTCCTCATACCCTCCCTCCCACTTTCTGCCTTTTTTTCTTCATCCCTTCTCCATTCTTTCCCTTTTTATCTTTCCTTCCCCTTCTCCAGCTCCCTCCCTTCCCCTCATAAACATGTCACCTTTCTTTCCCAGTGAGGACCACTTCACCTATCAACAACCAATCCTTCACCTAACAACAACCAATTCAGTGACCTCACAGAGGACCACTTCACCTAGTAATAGCCTTTTTGGAACAAACAGACAGATAGACTTTGACTTTGATACATATAAAGTACCGGTTCACTGGCTCTCATATAGCAGATCTGATTGAAAATTATAAGACAGAAAGAAGTAAAGAATGAAGTAACTTAAGAGTCCACATACATCTCTAACACTAAGATGTAACTGGTGGAGGTCTCAAAGGTGTCAAGAAGGCCGACAAGCTGAGGGTGTTGGAGATTCTGCATGATTCCGAGCTCGTGGGTGACCTGATCTCGTTTCATCAGTTTCTTATTTACAAATTTTGCGGCCACTTCTCGCTTGGTCCCCTTTTGATCACATCTCTTAACGACAGAAAACCTGCCCCTGGAAAATACGGTAAGAAAAGCACAAAGTCAACTCTGCAAGGCAAGTGTGCCGGACAGAGATAGAGAGCACATACTTTAGTCCTACAAACATAAATTCAAATTTAGTCTTGGAATCTTCACCCCTGTAAATGGATAATACTATGTAACAAAATTTAAAAAATGCTAGAACTGCTACATGCACATTAACAAGAATGTAACTCCTCTCTAAAATTCAGAACTCATATCACGTTCCGTCCAACATAGAAACAGAACAAGTGTATGATGAAGTGGGCTGCTTATATTAGATGACCAATAAAAATGGAAGAATGGGAACTAATGTGAAATAAAAGCTTAAAATATGCATATTAAATTGACCTTCAGGAAAACTGGTACAAGATGATGTACCAGTGTTACATTACACCATAAAAATTGGCCGAATATTATAAAATATTAAAGATTGTTGCTGGAAATGTGAGAGTCAAACAGTAACTTTTTTCATATGTGGTGGGGATGCAAAATTGCTAAAACTTATTGGAAAAGGATTCACGAAACCATACCAAAATTTTAAAAAATAAAATTCCAAATGAAACCTTAATATTACCTATTAGAGATATTAGATATGAAAATGAACAAGAATGAAGACATTCTATTTAATTACATGACTACGGCACCCAGAATTGTGTACACTAGAAAGTGGAAGACCATAGAAAATCCAATGAAAGAAGAGTGAAAATTAAGGATATTAGACATAATGAACATGGACAAACTAACTTATTTTTAAAAAGCACATCAAGGCAAACCCAAATGTCCAACTAATTGGATTTTATTAAATATTTTTTTGAAAACAGAAGGAAAAGATGCAAATATTGGATGACGGAGAGATCAACGACAACAATTAAGAGACTAATAACCTTGACAGAAAAAATTCGGAAGTCAACCAATAAGATTTTTTAAATTTTTAGTTCCATTTTTTTTCTCTTCTACCCTTTTTCTCCCCTATTTCCCCAAATTTTTGTACCTTTATTTTTACCCATAGGGTTACCTTTTTTATCCCCCCTCCCTATTTAGTTTTTTTTCTCCCACCCTCTAAATCTCCCACCTCTTCTTCCCAAACTTCTTACCCCAAACTCTTCCTTTTTCTTTTTCAAAAATAAATAAAAGCATTAAAAAAAAGAACTGGTATCACATTGGCTAGTTGGAGATTAGGTTGGAGTCCAAAAAGATAACATTTATATGCTCTGCTTGGTTTTTAGAGACATACATATATATAGACTGATTCATACCTGCCAAGCTCAGCCACTTCACTGTACAGGGAATCAAAGTTATCTTTCCAGGTTACAATGATCCCATCACTTCCAGGACCTGAAACAGGGTAAAAATAATTTGAATCCAAACATTTGATATATGGAAGTTATTGCTATAATGTATTTTTTTTTGTCCTTACCTAAAACTCGCAAACTGGCTGAAGATGAAACTGAACCCATGTCATTTGCAGCTATACAGGTATAGATACCATCATCTTCTGTGGTCACACCAATGATTTTCAGAGATGCTTCTCCTAAATCACTGCAAAATACGACAAACTTTAGATATATATGAGATCTCAGTTGCTGATTCTCTGCCTTTCTATGTTTCTTTCATCAGAGTTTGCTGTGTTACAGCTCTGGCTCTTTTCATAAGAAAAGAAACCAAAACAAAACAAACTATATTGCATATAATCTAGATAAGAGGTCCTCAAACTAAGGCCCTGGGGCCAAATACAACCCTCCAATGTCATTTACCTGGCCCTCGTTCAGGGTCAACCTAAGTCTGAAACGACCTGAAAGCACACACAACAACAACAACAACAACAACAACAACAACAACAACAACAACAACGCTATCTCATCAGCCAAAAGCAGGCCCACACTTCCCATTGAAATACTAATAAGTTTATATTTGTTACAATTGTTCTTCATTTTAATTATTGTATTGTTTTAAAGTGTTTTTTGCACCACAAATAAGATATGTGCAGTGTGCATAGGCATTCATTCATGTCTTTTTCAAATTATAATCCAGCCCTCCAACAGTTTGAGGGACTGTGACATGGCCCTCTGTTTAAAAAGTTTGAGGACCCCTGATCTGGATGATTCAATATGTAACTATTTCTTCTCATTTATTCACTATGTTCATGTATCATGTATCTTACATCAGGGATTCTTAAACTTTTCCTACTTGCAACCCCTTTCCACCTGAGATTTTTTTTATCTAACCCTGGATATTCAGGTATATAAAATAGATATAAAAACCAAACATTGACCAATAGTAAATCAACATTTGCAAGGCTTGCTAAACAGGCTGATTTTCCTTTTTATGAAGGAGAGCATTTCCTGCAGAGAAATAAACTATAAACCCTGTACGTTGTGGCTCCAAGATTCGTTTAAATGTGGCATTCAGAAACCGTTCACTGTTGCCTAACTGTTTGTGATCCCAACACTGAGAGGAGGGAACCTCATTTGAAGAAGCAGTGCCATAGACAACATTTCCTTAAAAAGCAATTGCTGCTTCTAACTGAACCTGTCTCAATGGATTAAAAAGGCAATCTAAAGTGCTGAGAAATTTCCCCTTCCCTTTCATTCCATTATTTTTTTTGCCTTTCCTCCCAAACTGGAAATTATTTATTTCTTCATTTGTTTTCAATATTTCTATCCCGCCCTTCTCAACCCCCGAGGGGGAATTGGGAGACCCAGTGTGGTGAAGTGTAAATTTTTAACTTGCAGTTATGTGTAATTATAGATGTTATGTATAATTATAGACAGATGTTTAATGGGTAAGTATTTAAAGTTGCATAACCAAGGGAGATGGCAGCCAGCTCAGCTTATGTTGAGCTGGGTTACCATGGAAACAGGGGCGGAGCCAACTGCCACTTGGCAGGGCAGCCATTTTTAGTCTGTAGTCGGAGAGCTACAGGAGAAGACTGATTTTCTAGGAGGAGAATCAGGGAAATAGTCTACAGTCTGTGAACTGTAGGAGAGGCTGGTTCTGTTGAGTAGAGAGAATCAGAAGGGATCTGTAGTATAGAAACTACAGGGAAAGGACTGATTCTACTGTAGTAAGAATCAGGGAGGTTTGAGCTTTTAGCCTGAGTAGTTTAAATAAGTCGAGTTGGCTTATTTATATTAATAGTTAGTGTTGAGAGAAAGGGTGAGAGAAACCCAGTGAGAGTCTCTATTGTAACTGAAGTAATCTATTAAATAAAGAAACACAGTTTGAAGAAAAATAAGTTTGAAACCTGTTTAGTGGAAGGAAGAGTCCTTTCCAGAGTTGTTTAAGAAAAGTTATAAATGTAACCTTTCAAGATATGTGCCTCTAAGAGTAGGAAACATTGAATCCATCATACTTCTTCTACATTTCAATAAACTTGTTACTGTTTTTCCTAAAGCCTTGTCCCTGTTACATTTCCTTTCCAAGTTAAATCACGCTACACAGAAGAAAGACCAAATCAATATTATTAGCTATCAATTAAATAAACCCTCACAAAGTGGTGGCTCCGTTACAAACGTTTACAAATTGGTGGCAGTAATTTTATGCTTCCTCACAACCAGGAATTTATAAGTTACGCAAGAGTGTGTTTCCAGATGTACACTCACAGATTTACACACCAATGATAGTAAATTTTTAGTTCCTCTAAACTAATTTTAATTGTCAACTCCCTCAGTAATGATTTCTTTCCTCTCCCACCACAGGTATAAAGCATGCGACCCTCAAGGAGGCAACGTACCTGTATGAGATGCTGTAGTGACTGTCATTGCTCAGTGTGTTATGATCAGGCCCTTTCCAAGTGATGGAAGCTTTGGGACGACCACAGACTTTGCACTTAAGAATGACAGTCTCTCCTATCTCACATGTCAGCCCACTTAATGGTATTATAAATTCTGGGGGAACTGGAAGAGAAGAAAACAGCAAACATTAAAAGCTTAGCATTATACTTTTGTGTTCATTACTCCAAATGCATGCAGGCATGAGACATTTTTTATGCTAGCTTTATACATACTATGTCTCTTGCGGCTAAAATTTTACTTACTTTATTTATACCCCGCCCTTGTCACCCCAAAGGAGTCTCAGAGCAACCTTACAAACTATGGCTGAAATTCAATTTTGTATGGCTAGTAGCAGAGGTGAAGTTTGGTAAGGACAACACATGCCTTACATCCGCCCCCCCCCCCCCACGGCCCAGAATTCTTTCTCCTGTGTCATTAGTTGGGTCCAGCGTGAAGAGAGGGGCCAGGAAGACAGTTCCACCTTGTCTCCTGCACTGTGCTTATAATATAATATAATATAATATAATATAATATAATATAATATAATATATACCTATAATATTGATAATATTATAATGTAATACAATATAATACTAATAATAATATGATATTATAATTATATATTTTATATTACATGTAATATTATTAATAATATTATAATTTAATAGTATAGTACAATATAGTAATATATAATACTAATATTGTGCTATGGTAATAATATAATATAAGCCGCTCTGACTCCCCTTCAGGATGAGAAGGGTGGCATATAAATGTCGTAAATAAACAAATAAACAAATAAAGAGAAATTAGGAGTGGGTCTTGTTACTGGATGACATATTGTCATATAAATGTGGAATTTCTCCTAGCTCTGGGAGATTAAATTAGCTCTGAAACATTCAGCCATTCACTTCACCCCACAGGGAAATGAGATGAGGTGAGAGCCTGAATTCTGTTTCCAGTATCTTCGTAGGAGAATCCCAAGATGAAGAGTATCACTGGAAAATTCCACAAAACATGTAGCAGAATTTTGAGCATGTTGCCTTGAGAATCTAAATTCTTTTGTCATAAGAGAAAAACCGGGCTGGATCTATGCATACAAGAGAAAGAGCCACTTCCACACAGCTGAATAAAATCCCACATTGCTTGCATGTACAGAATGCGCTCTGTGTCATTATCACAGAACGGTTGTTCTCATAATTTGCTTGAAAAACAAAACCCCAAAGTTCACTGATCCAACTCATGATGGGTACTGAAAACGGCAGAGCCTTACCTACCGAATTAGACCTACCCCACCTCTCTATCCCCACTATTATTTATTTATTTTATTTACTATATTTATATAGCGTCCCCCTCAGCCCACAGACGACTCGGGGTGGTTTCTGCAGGCGACTCGGAAAGAGGCACCACATAGTGACCCCTCGAAATGTGGGATCTTTATGCCCCATCCATATGACAATTTGCACTTACCATCATAAATGTAGTTGGGGTTGAGAAGCTGAAAATGAGAAGTTGGAAAAAATTAGAATTTTGAGAAGTTTTCCAAAATTTTCTTAGAGAAAAGAAGGCTTTAAAAAGGTAACGTTTAGAAACATATTTCAGTCCCATCATAGTGTCCTTTGCCCAGTTCATTCCTTAGTGAATTAACAGTGTCATTCTTTCCCTTTCCTTTTCATTCTTTTCATTTTCGGGTTATTTGGAGCAAGGTGTTTTGGCCTATAACTCCCAGAAAGTTTACTAGCTGTTAGGATTTCTGGGAATTGAAGGCCAAAACATTTGGGGACCTACAGGTTGAGAACCACTGGCTTAGAGAGAGGTGGCAATTTCTGCTATGCGTACTAAATCAATAACAATTACTAAAGTTGGAGGCTGAACCAAAAAAACTGTTTCCTGAAAACATATACCAGCTCTTAGAGAAATGACAGTCATTTGTAAAAGCGCTGGATTAAAAAACTCAGAACTGAATAAAAGATGCTGCTTTTTAAGATTAAGGCTGCTAGGAAAGTTGCAAATCTTAAATTATGCTTTAGTTTAAAGATATACAGTACAGTCTTGCTTATCCAACCTTCGTTCATCCAATGTTCTGTACTATCCAACGCAGTCTGCCTCCTTCCCCGATCCACAGCTGTTTCAATACATTTCAATGTTTTGGTACTAAATTCCTAAATACGGTAATTACTACATAACATTATGGTGTATTGAACTGCTTTTTCTGTTGATTTGTTGTAAAACATGATGTTTTGGTGTTTAAGTTGCAAAATCATAATGTAATTTGATGTTTTATAGGCTTTTCCTTAATTATCCAACACTTATTCAACCTTCTGCTGGTCCATTTATGTTGGATAAGCGAGACTCTACTGTAGTTTGATCTACTTGGGACATGAACATTTCTGCCCAACACCATATTACCCAGTCAATGTGTCAACCATTGTCCTCTTAGTAATTATTGCTACTGCTTCCTGTGAGCTCAATATGCATCACTTTTAATTTGTAATTTGAAAATACTTCTGTACTCTGAGACAGGATATGATCTTGTGCAAGGAATATTGAAAAGTGACCATAGTACTCTTTGCAACCTTCTGAGTAAAAGTAGATATGCTTTCTTTACTGTATCATATGAGAGCTTGGTTTCCTGTTTTACTCTGAATCCTATTCAGTTAACTGGGCAACATATGTCCACACAAGAGAAGAGACTACTTTTTTCTGATACCAGGTACTTAAGCAGTGTTCAAAGCAGCCATATTAAAATGCTATTTGGCTCTCAGCATTTACTTGAATATATCAAAAAGAGTAAATGGTTTTCCCTTTGCTCCTTTGTTTTAAAAACTCTACAATCCTCCACAGGCTCAACATACTATGCAAATACAATCCACCATAACATTTTTTTGCACAGAGGAGAAAAAGGATCCCAAATCGACCAAGCTCAATTCTACTTGTTGTAAGGTATAATAATAAAAATAATAATAATAATAATAATAATAATAATAATAATAATAATAATAATACCTTACAACATTGGCACACTGGGTGCCATGCCAAAAGATCTCAGCTGGCATTTGGAAACAATAAACATTGACAAAATCACAATCTGTCAACTGCAAAAGGCCACCTTACTTGGATCTGCACGCATCATTTAAAAATACATCACACAGTCCTAGATGCTTGGGAAGTGTTTGACTTGTAATTTTGTGACATGAAATCCAGCATATAGATCTCGTTTGCTGTGACATACTGTGTTTTTGTGTCAGTATAATAATAATAATATAGTAAGGTATAATATAATAATATTATTGGGTGACATACTACTTCACAATAGAACATTTGTATCATTAACTATCAATAGTAGAAACATTTAGCCATGCTATTTCAATTAGTTGTGAAAATGGGACTGTGAAGAAAGATAACAGGAAGAAAATCAACACATTTGAATTGTGGTGCTGGAGGACAGCTCTCCTGATACCATGGATAGTTCCCACCCCCCAAAGAGAAAATTAAGCCTGAACTCTTACTAGGAACCAAAATGACGAAACTGAGGGTATTGTACTTTGGACATGCTATGAACTGATGGAAAGGATGATAATGCTCGGTAAGGTGAAAGGAACACTGTAGAAACAGATGATTTACCCTATCAAGGAAGCCATGTACCTGAGTCTTTAAGACCTGAGCAGGGACGTTGAGGACTGAGACTCTCATTCATCATAAGTTAAAATTGTCTTGATGGCACATACCAGCAATAGCAGCAATGACAACAGTTTGAATTATATACAAATATCCTAAAAAACTGTGTTCAAAACAGGATTTTACTATTTCTATCTAAAAGAGGAGCAGGTATGAAACAAAGCCAGTACAAACACATGCCAAGTACAGCAACCTTTGTGCTACATAAAATACAATACTGGCACATTTTGTCCCACAACTTAATGATTCCTATAAATACAACATCAGGAAGAAAATACCTTCACGGAAACCTTATTGGCAAGTCCGTCTCGAGATTTACGGTAACCATTTTCTAACTTGCCTTCCCTTTTGCCGTCTTTATCTTTTTTCTCAGATTTCTTCCTTAGACGGAGTGCTGTGTGCCAAGATGATGACTTCCTGAAGGTAGAACATAACTGCAATTAACTGGAGCTTCCTGTGGGTCATTTTTGCCTTGGAGAAATATTTTAAATCAACATGTAGAAGGAAGAACATTTGAAAAACACACCGAACAGTCCATTTCAAATAAGAAGTAGTTTACGGATGAATCAGACAAATGACTTTCAAGGCCACATACATTTGGCAGATTTGATAAGAATTATATCATTATTGCACTAAAATAGCTATTATTGCATTTAGTTCTATATGTACTATATACATGACCTCATTCGACTTAACACAGCAGTGCTCATGACATATGTCCCTATATAAAAAAAGAGGGATTTTTGGTATGGAAACATTACCGTATATACTCTAGCATAAGTTGACCCAAATATAAGCCGAGGCACCTAATTTATCATAAAAAACTGGGAAAATGTATTAATTAACTCGAGGATAAACTGAGGGTGGGAAATGCAGCAGCTGGTAAATTTCAGAATAAAAATAGATACCAATAAAATTACATTAATTGAGGCATCAGTAGGTTAAGTGTTTTTGAATATTTACATAAAACTGTAACTTAAGATATGACAGTTCAATTCTGATTAAACCATTATTCTAACCTTCTTAAATGTAAATGTGCTTACGTATCCTCCCAATAACAGAAAGTAAAATAATAAATATAATAAAAATAATTATATTAGAGTAAATAGAAATGTAATAACAGTAATAAGAGTAAAATAATAAATGTAATAATAATAGAGTAAAATAATAAATGTTATAATAACAATATTAGAGTAAAATAGTAAAGGTATTATTAATAATAAATAGAGTAAAATAATAAATGTAATAATAATAATAATGGGGTAAAATAAAAATAACTTTGACTTGAGTATAAGATGGGGGGGGGGGCTTTTTCAGCCTAAAAATGGGCTGAAAAACAGCTTATACTTGAGTATATATGGTATGTAAAAATGAGTGATTTTCACCTAGTATTCTCCTTGGAATCTATATTACTGCTTGGAATGATTTATTTATTTTGGGATAACATTCAATTACATACACTCCCAGTCTTGGTTTTGAATGGTATCTCAATGAGGTACAACTACAACTAGGCCTCAAATGTTATCTTCTTCTGCAGAAACAAAATATTTTCTTAAACCACTAGCATGCAAAGAAGCTTGGTGTAACCATTAAGTGTTTGCAACATCTAACAGGCACTGGATGAGCAAACAGATTTGGAAACAATCTGAATTCTCAAATAATATCAGCATCTTTGAATTACTAAGTAATTATTCACCATGACGGGAAGCATCACCACTTGAAACAACCATTTGGCAAAGAAAAGGTTGTGAGACTTAAGAGGTATCTGTCTTAAAAGAGGTTATGCAAATGTTTTGGGGAGGGGTGAAATGAATTAGAGCATAAGAAGCCCAAACTCAAGTTTTTGTGGCAGTTTGTTTTGAAATATATCTAATTTTCTGCCTACTTAAGTGTCAACTTATGTGAACTATTAGCCTGTATCCATCTCATATACAGCACTACTATGTGCTCTACGTGGGGTAGCCCTTGAAACCGTTCGGAAGCTTCAACTAGTCCAACATGTGGCAGCCAGACTGCGGACAGGAGTGGCATGCAGGGAGCCCACAACCCTCTGTTGCGCCAGCTCCACTGGTTGCTGGTTTGCTATCAAGCACAATTCAAAGTGCTGGCTTTGGCCTATAAAGCTCTGAATGGCCTCGGCCCAACTTATTTGCTTGAACGCACCTCCCTCTATGAACCATTACGGAGGTTAAGATCTTCTGGGGAGACCCTGCTCTTGGTGGAGACAAGAGACAGGGCTTTCTCAGTGGTGGCCCTTGGGCTGTGGAACTCCCTCCCTAGTGAGATTAGATCGGCCTCTTCCCTCCTGTAACTTCGCAAACAAGTGAAAACTTGGTTTTGGGAGCATTTGGCCCACCATAATTATCTGTGCAATACAGTTGGAATTGGCTTTAGATTGATGAATATGACTTTCTGATTATCTGGCTTTGGATATATGCACAACAGTCATCTAATGTTTATATATGTTGCTTTAATGTTGTTTAATTGCTTTTAATTGTTGTTCGGGAATAGAACAATACCAATTTCGTAAGCCGTCCTGAGATCCCTTCGAAGTAAGGATGGGATATAAATGCTGTAAATAAATAAATATTCTCCTAGTATTCAGTAAGGGTTTTGAGGTCATGGGTTAATATAGGACATGGTGAATTATTGATTGAATCTATTCCTTGACCATTCAACTCTAGTAAGGAGATACCAGGCACTACTGAAATAGGCAGGCAGACACCTAAACTTTATCCATGAAGAATTTGGATTTCTGACACGAGAGATCTGTCAGCCCTAGATGAATATGACCTACCATTCTGGAATGAGAAAAGACACATTGGAATTCTCTGTGGGACTTACTTCATTGTTCCATCAGGGTTGTCAACGGTGATTGCACTGGTGTGCCCCAGGACATAGCCGGGGATCCAGCCCTCGGCTGCAGGGCACTGATCAGTGGCGGCGCGGAACACCAAAAACATGTTCTGTTGGTTGCTGGCTAGAATTTGCACAACTTCTCCTTGGTAGACATTAATCTCATCCTCCTTCACTGCCGTATAATCGTGTGTCACCAGCATGGTGGAGATATTGCTACTGCTGCTACTTTCACTCTGTGGATGAAGTGATCAGGTAGAGGGAAAGGAAATGGGAGAAGGTTTACTCAAGTAGAAGGATGCGCGTAAGGTGGCTCTATTCCATAACATCAGCACAAAGAAATTTCCATTTCAATAGGCTTGTAGTAATATCAAAATATTCCTTTCACAACTCTATTGCTACTGAGCTGATTTAAAAAATCTAAACAAACACACACTGTAAAAATAGAGCAACCAGGCTGATATGCGTATTAATTAAGGAGATATAAACATATTTGGGAGATGTGTTTGTATTTTTGAAGGATGTGGTAAACTAAATTACAGTAGAAGCCCTACATCTGCAAGGGATATGTCCCAGGACCTTGGGTGAATACACAAAATTATAGGTAATAACGAATACTATTGAACAAATGACTTCCGGTGGAAACATAGTTTCACTGTAGGAGCTAGAAAATATATAGAGATATAGCTTTTAAAAGTATCTTCACCATTCTTCTGCAGAAGGTAAGTGAAATTCTGGTAGTGTGAACATCTGAGAGGCAAACGATTTCAGATTTTCACATTCCATAAGTCTTAGACTTTGTGAGCTGAATTTCCTAACAGTGACTGGGAAGGCTAGAATAAAAACCATATACTTCTCTTTTCTTCTACTCTACCTCTTGTCTTTTCTTGGGCTTCATAATAAAAGGTAAACATAATTCTTCACTACATCCAAACTAGAGATCTGTGGTGTAATGTTAGTTTGCTTCCTAGTGTTTTAAATGAACTTGCTAAATGAACTGATAATAAAATCACAACTTCTGTTTTGGGTGTAAAACTGATCCATAGCTGAAAAAGACTATGTGCTGAAGCTAACAGGTGTAAATGTGTGTGGAGGCACTACTCACCCCAAGTATAATGAACTTGGTTTATGGAGCTGGGATTATTATATGCTACACATTTCAACTGTGTGTTCTAATGTGTTCTAATGGGGAAATATTCTGGGATGAAGTATGCTACATATCTAAATGAAAGACTAAACCAGTGGTTCCCAACCTTTTTTTAAACCAGGGACTACTTTGACCAGGGATCACTCTCCAACATTAGTACCAAAAGGGTTACAAATCAATTTTTTGTCAACTTTAGATTCAGTTTGGTTATTTGGGGTGCGGATACAGAAAACTGTATTGGATAGACCACATCAGCTCTAGTTTCTGATACAGAACATATGCCACCCAGTACAGAACATATGCCATCTGCTCGCCCACAGAAAAACATATTTAATAATTTAGAGCTGATATGGTAATAGTAATCTTTTACGGGTGGTCAGCCCCTTCCCTCCCAAGATCCCCGTTGCCGCGGCACCATAAGAGGGTTTTGCGAGACCAGTTGCTCTTGTTGCCACATGGTAATGAGGCCTCGGCACTATAAGAGGGTTTTGCGAGAACAGTCATTACAGTAGTAATGGTGAGACCATGGACTATATTTTAGTTCTTGCGGACCACTGGTGGTCCATGGACCACAGGTTGGGAAACACTGGAATAAACAATTAACATGCTTGTTTAAGCTGATCTCTAAATCTAAATGTAAGTTAATTAAATCCACAGGTTATACTATAATGGCTTGCAGACTAGATGTCTTCATTTACTGATTTGCACAAAATACCCTCTTGCTCTTCTTGATATTAACTCTTGCAAAATAAGCTCTAGAGAGAATTGCCTTGCTAAGTTGAAGGAAAGGACATGTTTCCATCAATGGCATCATATTATTGCAAATGTTATGCTTTTGACTGACCTCAACAATATCCATATTTAATGTAGGGAGGGGAAGGAAACAATGAAGAAAATATTTCTAAGAGGTAATTTTATTTTAAATATAAGGAATAGGTAGTGTTCCATTTTATAGATGGAGGCCACAAGGTGGTGCTAGACAGAGAAAAATAGTCCATTTTATGAAGGAGCTTTCCTGTTATTCTTCCCACCCATGTCTCTTTAGTCCAGTGGTTTTCAACCTGGAATCCCCAGATGTTTTTGGTCTACAACTCCCAGAAATCCCAGCTAGTTTACTAGCTGTTAGGATTTCTGGGAGTTGTAGGCCAAAAACATCTGGGACCCCCAGGTTGAGAACCACTGCTGTAGTCAAAGCAAACATAGTTTATGATATGGGAAAGGGTGGGGGGAATAACCAATGAAAATTGGGGAAATGGTTTTCCTCCTTCAACTTCCCTCCCCATAAAATGGACTATCCCTTCTCTGTCTAGACCCACTTTTGGCCACCGCCCATATAATTGAACAGCACCAAGGATTATTGTTCTGAATCATTGCGAAGTATTATTTCATTTTTTAAATACTGCATATGCAGTATGCGTATGCATATATCTGAAGTAGGAACATTTAATTTTTTAACCATCGCAAAAGGAATTCCCTCTGCCTAAAGAAAATATATTTTCATCCCAGTTATATATATTTCCAATACTTTTAACAACTCTATTCCCTACTCGCCTCAAACAAGTTTATCTTCATCGTCAAGTTGACATTCCTTACATTCAGAAAACTATCAAAGTAGACACACTAAAACCAAATCAAATAAAGATAAGACCAGGAGCCTAAAACAAGAAGAGACATGCAAAGCAGAATTTCGTACCCTAGAGCTATGCTACAGTAAGTGAAAGAGGAAATCAAGAGTGCTATATTGTTAAAAATTCAATCCAATAGTGCATGCATGCAAGAAAGATTTGGAAGGCCAGGTGATGCGCAGCTGATGTTGTGGAGCAACTGCGAAAGAAGCTGGAAACGTGTGCAACGTATTTAAACAGAGAAAAAGGTCTGGGATTGATTCAGTGTGACAGTCTCACTCCCCATGATCAGTGTTTAATTTCAAAAATCTTAAAAGTGTCTTTTCAAAGCCATGTTGTGTTTCCAGATGGAAGTCTCACAGAGAAGTATGGAGTCTGCTGGCCGACAACCCTGTTCTTCCCTTGCAGTACCAGACAGCAGAATGGTTTGAAAAATTGCATTTTCAGGTACCCTGGTGAAGAGCTTCACAGAGATTTTACAGAAGGTTTTTTAAAAAAAATATATGGCGATTTGACTAAGATAGCCTTTTTGTGTATAGCAGTATACTCAGGATATTTTTTTTATGCTGGAAGATTCCTTGACAAGGTGCATGCATATTTTAAAGACAGCAAGTCAACAGAATGCTTCAGCTCATTTGAATTTTAAAAACAGATAAGAGCAGCAGAAGACCTCCATGATTATCTGAATGCAAGATGATGGAGACCACAGGGGAGTGCTGGCTTCCTCGTGCATCTGGCTGCCTGATCCAGCTGGGCAATTCTTAGTTTCTTCAAAGCGTCATCTGGAGTGGGGAAAATGAACTACGTGCTTGTAAGGAGGAGGAAGCCCTGAACAAATCTGCAGCAGAAATACAGGTGATGCGTAAACAAGAGTTCCCACATTGCGGTGGCACACAGCAGGTTAGATTTGTGCCTTCGTGTTAGATAGGGAGGGGAAAGCCAAGAGCAAGTTAGTAGAAACCAGACTAGCAGATTTTAAAAAAATCAGCAGAGGTGAAAGTCATATTTAGAGTTAGAGTTTTTTTCTGTGCGTCTGTATACATATCGCAAGTTTTTGTCTTATGTATACACACGCAGATCAACATATGTCTCTATTGAGATCTGCACAGAAAGGCTGGAGCGACTGATTGTTATTATTTCAGAGCAGTGGTGCAGCATTGGAGAGCCAGAAGTTAGTACGGAGGCTGATGGTCACGCGCAGGAGAAGGGAGCATGGGAAGAGTTTTAGAAGAGCTCACAGGAGAGAAGCGCTCTGGCTCTTACCCCATTACTCTGGGTGGAGTGTACTGACTGCTCGCTGGCCGAGGAACATGTGCTCATGCGGTCTGTGTCCTTGCTGTGTGAAGAGTGGCGGCGGACCTGGCGCTGGAGGGAGTCACTGTCCCCGGGGAAAGTGAAGGAGCCGGGACGGCTGACAGGGGATGCTGGGATGGAGCTCCAAAAGGAGCCTTTCTGCAGAGGACTGCTGGGTGTAAAGTTTTCCTTGCCAAAAGGAGAGGGGAAAGTCATTGCAGGAGGGTTTACAGGTGAGATAGCTCCAGGTCTGGCTTTCCCCAGCGTCAGGGATCCTATGCTGTTCCTTGAACGAATCTCCTCCGAATTCCCTCGGCATTCCCTCTGATCTGCATCCGCAGGACCATAAGTGCTTGTCGGTGCCTTCCGGGGGCTCTCCAAAGCATTCATCTTGGGGATCTTCTCTGCTTCTCGCTCAGGACCATTTTGCTGTATGTTTGATGGATGCCTGCCTGCCTGGCTGAAGCCAGCCTGTAGGGTAGTTGTGTGGGGAGGCAGGGAGGGATTGTGAATGGACGTACCTGACATCTTGTCTGCCTCTGCCTGGACTGAGGCTGCAGAGGAGACCAGGACTGGGGAATGGTGTCGGACCGGCTGTGGGATCCGAGAAGGTCTGCTACGGCTGGAGCTGGGGATTCCAGTGCAGGAGCTCGGGCCGCTGCTGCTGCTGTTGTTGCCGCCACCGCCGCCACCAGGACCACTGTGGTTCCTCTGGTACTCGATTGGTGATGTCAAGGCTGAGGTGGCCATTGGGAGAAAACAGAAATTCACATAAAATGGAAGACAAAGCAAAGCAGCTTCCTACACAAGATTTAACATATTATTATTATTATTATTATTATTATTATTATTATTATTATTATTATTATTATTATTTATACCCCGCTACCATCTCCCCAACGGGGACTAGGGGTGGCTTACATGACGCCAAGCCCAGACAACATATTACAGCAAAATAAAAGCAAAAACATAAGCAATAAACAATAGCATCATAATTACATAAAAACATATGAATATAATAACAATATAACATTACAACAAACACAATCACAATGACAGTGGGTGGGCCACATGTGCAGGATAAAATGTTAAAAAACTCGAATGAGATAAGAAGAGGAGCAAGTTATTTGCAAGAGGGAACTCATAAAAAACACAGGGTTGTGGAACCAGACTTTCCCATGGGGGGGGGCATGTACTCCAGTGACAGAAGCATTGAGGGGAGCAGTGGTGTCATGTTGTGCACCTACTCACCAAAGGCGCAGCAGAAGAACCAGGTTTTAAGGTTCTTTTTAAAGGTCTAAGATTGTACCAGCAATTATTTAGGCTGGCATTGTTTTTGCCACATCTGCTAAGTAAAGTGGAACACAGTCAACTAGTGCACAGCTTCTCCACAGGAACAAAGAGAATACTGTCGGAAATATGACAAAAATTATCTAGGTATTTTTAATTACAAAAATGTGAGTCGAGCACTGAAAGGGTTAAATGGATGCAATGCCTCAGCAAAAGCTGCAGTTTTATATAAGCAGGTGTGCCTGTAGCTTAGTAGGTTTCCATGTTAGTTTGCCTCAGTGGGAGAAAGGTCTCAGCCCGTGAGAAGGCCTCACAGTGTGAGGTAGGCCTTAGTCTGTGAGAAGCTTCAGTGAGAGAAGCCCCAGGCTGAACACCTCGCGTGTAAAGCTACTGTGTAAGTTCGGTATGAGAGAAAGCTCTGTGAGAGTGAAGTCGTTTACCGGCACGAAAAAGAAACCCAGTGTGAAAGCAAAGACTAGAATTAATGTCAAGGGGAAACCATTGCCTTGAATGTAGTCAAAAAAGGTAAGCATTATATTTGAATAAATACAGTATTCCAGAAACCATAAACACCAATGAAGAATAAGATACATATGTGAAGGGGCAATTTTGACAGCAATATGGCAAAGGAAATTTACTAGAGAGTTAAACCTAATACTGAAATCTGAATAGGAGAAAAAATGTAGTTTTGACAGCAATATGACAAAGGAAATTTACTAGAGAGTTGAACCTAATACTGAAATCTGAATAGGAGAAAAAAATGTAGTTTACATTACCATTTAGAAAATTACGCTGGTTTTCCAAAATTTGGTTGATTTCATGGATCCACATTTGGCGGACTCCTGGACTGGTGGAATGCAAAACAAAAGTCTCCATAGAATCACCTGCTCTCGATGTCAGTGCAAATTTACATGGATCGTTGTCTACGTTTTCCTCCAAACAAAGGCAACTCACCTTCATTATATAAAAAAATAAGCAAAATATTAAGAAGTGCAATTCCTGAACTGATGTCATTATTTTTAATCAGATGGCAGAAGGAACGAGTGTTTTAGAGACCTCTGTGAACCTGAGATCTTCTCATTGGGATAAGGCGGTGGTTCTCAACCTGTGGGTCCCCTGGTGTTTTGGCCTACAACTCCCTGAAATTCCACCCAGTTTACCAGCTATTCGGATTTCTGGGAGCTGAAGGCCAAAACATCTGGGGATCCACAGGTTGAGAACCACTGGGTTAAGGGATGTAACACTCATTCTGACTCTATTTTGGCTTCAGCACTGCCTATCAACATAGTCATGTCCTAATTGGGAATTCACAAACAATTTTTCCAGACCAAGCCAGAGGCCAAACTTATGCTAACTCTTTAAAAAAGTAAATCATTTGGGGCTTAGACGCCCAATTTAGTCAAGTAGCAGTCCTTTCCTAGTTTAACATAACCCTTTACAGGTTATTTGTTACAACAGTTATTGACACTATCCAGTATCCTGGGCTGATGTGTGAACAAACAGCATGGAAATTAAGCTTGAGAGATGTTCAACAAAGCAGCCAATAAAGAATACCAGAAGTAAATATTAGATTATGATTTCACTTAACATGGAGGTGCCCTACATAAATATATTTACATTATACACTTAACAAGATGTTGACTTTTAATGAGAAGTAACCTCAGATAGAAAGGCACCTGAAAAAGAAGCAAAAGGGCTTTCAGGAAACTGAGCATAGGAAACACGAGAATATATCTGGGATCTCTTGTATGTGTTCAACACATGGTGGGATGTCCTACGGTAGCAGATTCTCTTATATGATTCCATCCATCTTTGCATGCAGGGTTCACAGTTGTGCAAAAAACTATGTTCTATGTATACTAGATATCTCAATGGATGCATCAAAAACAAAGTGGTAAAACCTCCCCTTGTAATCCATTCAAATGTAGATTCATAAGAAGTGGCCCAAATGAGCAACAAGTGGTCTTGATCCTCATTCCTATTAAGTAGTTTCAAATCATACAATGGTTGAATTCAAAATTTTCCTCTGTTCAGTCTTTCCTCATTATTGTTCATTTCTCACAGCAGGCTAACTACTCATTCACCAGACCTGGCATAATTGAAAAGACTTGTTATCTGTTTGTCACACAGGAAAAGGAGAAGGAGAAGTAAAGTACTTCATTATGTGGCTCTTGGGACATTGTTTGTCAGCCATAAGCAGAAGAAACAATTTCTTTGAGCTTACCAGGAATCAAAGAAAAAGAACACAAAATCTTGGAGTGACTGGCTGAAAGAAAACCTTTGAACAGACAGCAGAGAGGAGCTTAATTAGCTTCCCACTCTCCAATTGCTGGCTTTATATATCTTTGAAAACATTCTCTCTGTGATTTTTCCTGATTCACAAAATGAACCCTAGAGGATATTTCTAAATTACTTTTACAGAGAATAGAGGACTTTTGGACTTAACTAACCTTCACCAATGCGGTGTCCTCTAGACCAGCGGTTCTCAAAATGTGCTCTGGGGAGCCCTTGGGACTCTGTGAAGCATAGTGAGAGTCTCCACGATGGCCCTGGGGGTTTCTGCTATTACTACTACTTTTTTTTTTACTACTACTACTAGTACTACTTGGCCGACCAAGGGCAAGATGGATGGATGGCATCCTTGAAGTGACTGGACTGACCTTGAGGGAGCTGGGGGTGGTGACGGCCGACAGGGAGCTCTGGCGTGGGCTGGTCCATGAGGTCACGAAGAGTCGGAGACGACTGAACGAATGAACAACAACAACTAGTACTACTATTACAAAGGCTGGATGGCCATTTGTTGTGGGGTACTTTGTGCTTTCCCTGCATGGCAAAAGGGTGTTGGACTGAATACATCCTGGGTTTCTCCTATTATTATTGTTCTGTCCCCGCACTAGCTAATTATTTGGAAGGTGTCTGTGGTGCAGGGAACAGATTGAATGCTACGTATTTGAAATAAAAACAAGAATTTATTAGATAACAGATCTTAAATTTCCTTTACTCTTGAGTTTACTGCCAGTCTTTGTGAGGGGAGTTAAAGTCCTTTAAGCATAACCATAGTTCTAACTGAATTTTACATTAATATGACTTCAATTGGATCTCAATCTGTTTTGTCTCTGACATGCTTTGTGTCTTTACATTCATATAGCTTTAATGTAACTTGTATGGCTTTGACATGACTTGTGTGGTTTCGATGTGACGTTCTATTTTTTTGGATCCTCCAACCTTCCTTACTCTTTACCTTCCAATTATCAAACTGGCTGACTCCTCAAAGAACTAGGAGGGTCTTGGCTGAGGTTCCGCCCCTAAGAGGAGTCTTAAAAAGGACAGGGTGAGGGAGGTTTAAAATACAAAGAAGAGGCTATCTAGACTAACCCACACACTATACATAAAATACTCATCCCCTCTAACTAAATATGGGTTTAACAGGAGTAAACAGTGAGAAATCTTGTGGAGGCCAGACAATAATAACAATTATTATTATTATTATTATTATTATTATTATTATTATTATTATTGATGCAGACTAGGGTTTCTGCCATTATTATTATTATTATTATTATTATTATTATTATTATTATTATTATTATCTACTTTAAAGGCTGGATAGCCATCTGTTGAGGGTGCTTTGATTGTGCCTTTTCTGCATTGCAGAAGAGGGCTGGACTGGATGGCCACGGGGGTTTCTGCTATTATTATTATTATTATTATTATTATTATTATTATTATTATTATTATAATATTACAAAGGCTGGATGGCCATCTGTTGGTGGTGCTTTGATTGTGCTTTTCCTATGTGGCAGAAGACGGTTGGACTGAATGGCCCCTGAGGTCTTCTACTGAAATACTGTTAAGGTAAGGTTATGTTGGTTTGCCCATGCCTGATATATATACAGCATATAATATATATAATTCTTTTTTGGGACTCCATGAGAAAGTTTTGCTTCAAGAAGGGCTTCTTGGGTGAAAAAGTTTGAGAACCTCTGTTTTAGACTAACATGACCAGTCATCATGGCCAATCTGGGATTTGCAGCCCCAAACATCTGGAAAGTGTCACATTGGGGAAATCTATATTAGTCATTACGATGAAAATTGATTAAAACCTTAAACCTAACCACCTTTAAAGAAAAAAAAAACTTATATGCTTACCTTTATGCTATTTTTAAATAAGAACCCTGGTGTTGAGAAGCCTTTCTTTTTATCTAGTGGTTCACTGAATATGACAATCTGCTCAAACAGGAAGACCCGCCTTTCTTTCAACCGTGGCAAGAGTCCTGTATCCTGGTCCGTAACCATGAAGGTGTCTTGCAGCAACAGTTTTCCCTGGGCAACAATTTTACCCTTAAAACAGAAACCAGAACAAGTTTAGTTAAGCCTTCCAGCCCACTCAGTGACATGAGTAATGATATTGTTAAAGAAAAGCATGTCTAGTAAGATGTTGACATCTCATGGATTTGTTTTGTTGCACAAATTATCCTGCTCTTTGTAGTTCAAACAAAATTGCATTCGTATGTAGTTATTACTAATTTATTCTTGAAGCACTGTAGTTTTGAGAAGAGTGAAGAAGAAACATAAACAACCAGCAATTTCATATTCTAAACAAATCAGTGCTACACAGATCAACAATATGCTAGCATGTACAAGGAAAACAGAGGTTCGTCTTTTCAATGACTACCAGATGATATCTGCTAAACAATAAGATATGCAGAATCTTAAAAAAGTAACAACATTATTAGCTATTTCCTAATATCATGCCAAAACCTCAGTAGAATTTTGTTCACATTTGGACATGTAACAATCAGTAGCCCTATCCTGAATTTTCAAATTGTGATGACTGGTGGCATTTAAAAAACATAGTGCTTTACTTATATTCAATATTCATGAATTTGGAATTTCATGTAAGTTGGTCTCATCTGAGTTCCTGTCATCCAACAATCTTGTGAACTAGGTTTATGCAAATTTGTTTTTCACATTCTAGACTGCCTCTTTTTCAAATAATTAAGACCTCCTATATTAGATGAGAGTAGACACTCTAGGACAGGGGTCCTCAAACTTTTAAAACGGAGGGCCAGGTCACAGTACCTCAAACTGTTGGAGGACCGGATTATAATTTGAAAAAAACACGAATGAATTTCTATGCACACTGCACATATCTTATTTGTAGTGCAAAAAACCCACTTAAAAACAATACAATAATTAAAATGAAGAACAATTTTAACAAATATAAACTTATTACTATTTCAGTAGGAAGTGTGAGCCTGCTTTTGGCTGATGAGATAGGATTGTTGTTGTTGTTGTTGTCGTGTGCTCTGAAGTCATTTCAGACTTAGGTTGACCCTGAGTGAGGGCCGAGTAAATGACCTTTGAGGGCTGTATGTGGCCCCCGGGCCTTAGTTTGAGGACCCCTGTTCTAGGAGAACAGAATGGAAGGAAACATAATAATAATAATAATAATAATAATAATAATAATAATAATGATAGATTTGTAGATTGCCCTATCTCCCCAAAGGGACTGGGCGGTTTCCAACATATAAGGCAAACATTCAATGCAAGCGAAGACATATAAACAAGTTTACATCGAAAACAGAACACATCAAACAATGTAAAACAACCTAACTTTAAACTCAATACCAAACAGAAATTAACACAAAAAATGACCCAAATAGACATAATCACATAGTATAAATTATCACAAGATAAACACCTAAAACTAACAGCTAAAATGTTATTGAGAGGTGGGATGGTTTTCAACAACCAAAACTAATTAGCCTGACAGGCTAACCAAAACAGGCTAAAATCAATTCCAGTATCTAGACAAGATTTAATGTATCTAGATGATGATGTATATCGAGACGTTAGTCTGCCTTCTCTCCAAATGCCAGAGTGCATAGACGGTTTTTTAGCAACCTTTTGAAGGTGAGGGGAGAGGGGGAAGTTTTCAGTTCTTTCGGGAGGGAATTCTAGAGGCAGGGAGCGATCGTGGAGAAGGCCCTCTCTCTCATTCCCACCAGCCGTGCTTGGGATGGGGGTGGGACCAAGAGCAGGGCTCCCTCCACAGATTGCAATGTTCAAGCCGGTTTGTATATGGAGATGCGATTCTGCAAATAGTCTGGGCCTGAACCGTTTAGGGCTTTATATGTAACGACCAGCACTTTGTATTTAGCCTGGAAGCAGACCGGCAACTAGCGGAGCTGCCCAAGCACTAGAATCTTCCTCTCATGATGCGGCACTCCAGTTAGTAACCTAAATGCTGGTCTCCGAACTAGCTGCAGCTTCCAAACTATCTTCAAAGGCAACCTCATGTAGACAGCATTGCAGTAGTACAAATGGGAAGTAACCAAGGTGTGGGCTACCATGGTCAGATCTGGCGTCTCAAGGTATAGGCGCAGCTGGCGCACAAGTTTTAATTGTGTGAAGGAGCACCTGGCCACCACTGACACTTGGGGTTTCAGAGTCAGCAATGAGTCCAGGATCACCCCCAGTCTGCAAACCTGTGTCTTCAAGGGAAGTGTGACCCTGTCCAGCACAGGTTGTAATCCGACAACCTAATTCGCCTTCCGGCTGACCAGGAGTACCTCAGTTTTGTCTGGATTTACTGTCAACTTATTAGCCCTCATCCAGTCCATCACTGATGACAGAAAACGTTTTAGGGGCAGGACGGCATCCTCGGCTTTCGGTGGAAAGGAGTAACAGAGTTGGGTGTCACTGGCGTAAATTTGACACCGAACTTCAAAACTCCAGAAGATGTCTCTTCCAGCGGTTTCATGTAAATGTTAGACAGCATTTTAACTATAGCAGAATGCATCCCGGGGGCATTTCCTCACTCTCGAGTCTAGCCATGAGGAGAGGTGGGTAAGAAATATAATAATAATAATAATAATAATAATGATAATGATCATCATCATCACCGTACTATTGAATTGGCCCATGGTTAAAACCAATTGAGAATAGAGGCTAATTCTTTACAGGATGCCTTCAACCTGTAATATAAGGAAGACGTTTTAGATTGTCTAAAAATTCTAAAACCGAAAGAAGGACATCAAAAATGTTTTTTGTTTGATCTGCAAGTATACAATTATGAAGAAAACCTGCTGTTCATCAAGAATGAAGAAGAGCACAAAGTTAAAGAAGAACTTACATCAAATCCTTGTAAACGACCAACATTCATCATGTCGTTGCACCGTTTGGGGACTATACACATTACTTCTACAGCCCTCTGTTGAATCAAAGGAGAAGAATTTTAGAATAGTCAGCTGTACTCAAAAATGTCATCCCACGAGATATGTTATATAACTCTCATATTATATTAACTATGTCACAAAAACAGACTAGCGACTGTTTGTAGGAACAAACAGCATGCCTTCTTTTGAAGACTCCTTGATGAATTATTTCAAAACAGCCAAAGTACCGTGTCAAGCATTATTTCCAGAATGAATAAAACTTGAAAAATGAAAATAAAAAGTACTTAGAAGAAGTGAGACACAAACTCTGTAGATGTACTCTAACCCCTCCATTTGCCCCTTTAAAAATCTATCTTGGATGATTGGGCCCAATAAAAAATGGGGAAAGGCAACATGTTCAAGTCCAAGACACAATGCTGACAAAGACACTATGCTTGATGTGAACCAAGCCAAACAAAAAACTTTGTGTAGACAAGAACAGCATCTGAGAAAATCTAAGGACAATTCACAAATCAACACAGAAACCATTTTTCCTGGTTGTTTCAGATACCATTGCAGAAAAGAAGTTGTACCAAAGCTGTACATTGCTGTGTGCATGAGACAAACAACACAGAAGCCAGAATTAAGGATCCAGGATATTTTAACAATCATGATAGTTCTGAACAGCATCAACTCATGTATAAGCTGACCTCATGTATAAGTCGAGGGCAGGTTTTGTGGACAAAATTCTGGATTTTGCAGAGAGGGGGCAGCAACAATATCTCACGAGGCTGCCACTACCACTTCCCCACATAGACATTCAAAAAGGTTAGATGTGGTATCATGGTGGGGAGAGTATAAGGGGTCAGGAGTTATATTACCTCTCCCAGGACACACTAAACACTTGCCTTTTGTTGCTGTACTCAAGAGAAGGAGATAGTCCCTTTTTAAAGGCACAGTACTCACAATAACCTGTAGGTAGGATGACCTGAGTATTTTTGGATTGATTTTAGAAACTAACTGTACAGAAGTTGATTGTAAATGATATGATTATAACTGTATTTGTGTTTGCACTGGTTGCCCTAATGCTGGAGCGGCCTAGCTGTGAGGAGTGTGTTACCATGGAAACGATGCTGTAGAGAAGTGGGAGGAGCTTAGAGAGGAGAGTTTTGAAAAGCGACAGTTAAAGTCAGTTGGGGGTTTAGGCTCAGAGGAATGAAGAGTCAGGGTTTAGGCTCAGGGAAATGAAGTGTTGAGAGAGAGAGTGGGAAGTAGAGAAGCAGTGTTTGTGAATAGTCAGAGGTTTCTTCAGTTTGGGAAGGCTGAAGGGGAAACCTTATTAGTTTCATTAGTTAGAGAAGACTAATAGAAGCTTGTTTAGATCACTAGTTAAAAGTGAACTAGAGATCTGAGGTTTGATCACGGAAGGATCAAACAGGAAGACTATTCAAGTGGGAGGAGCTTAGAGAGGAGAGTTTTGAAAAGCGACAGTTAAAGTCAGTCAGGGTTTAGGCTCAGAGGAATGAAGAGTCAGGGTTTAGGCTCAGAGGAATGAAGAGTCAGGGTTTAGGCTCAGAGGAATGAAGAGTCAGGGTTTAGGCTCAGAGGAATGAAGAGTTGGGGGTTTAGGCTCAGAGGAATGAAGAGTCAGGTTTTAGGCTCAGGGAAATGAAGTGTTGAGAGAGAGAGTGGGAAGTAGAGAAGCAGTGTTTGTGAATAGTCAGAGGTTTCTTCAGTTTAGGAAGGCTGAAGGGGAAACCTTATTAGTTTCATTAGTTAGAGAAGACTAATAGAAGCTTGTTTAGATCACTAGTTAAAAGTGAACTAGAGATCTGGGGTTTGATCACGGAAGGATCAAACAGGAAGACTATTCACCTCAGGAAACATTGTTTAATAAAGTGCTTCACCACAGCAAAAGTTATTTATAAGTTGTAACATCAGAAGTCTGTACTGTATCGCAACCAAGTTATATGTAACGTTCTCCAAGTATCTTCCAAGTTTATCACCAAACTGCAACCATACGCTTTGTTACAAAAATAAACTTGTTCTCTTTGATTTTAAGACTGCCTCATCTCCATTAATTCTGCGTTCAGTGTGCCCAATCTCCCAAAATTACCTCACATCACAAATTGGTGGCACCATTAAGAATAATAAATAATAAATCGAAACTTCTCTCTCCTGAAACCCCTTTTCTTTGAATTGGGGCAAGCCCTTTGCACTAACATTTTTAGATTTCTACATGAGTATACATAAGATAAACAGCTTTGGTGAGGCAAGACATTGTGTATTGTTTAATGCCTCATTAAAAGATAATATCCAAATATTGCGTTGATTAAGAGTCTGAGGGTCAATAAGGAAATAATAATAGTAATAGTAATAATAATAATAATGTATTGTCGAAGGCTTTTATGGCTGGAATCACTAGGTTCTTGTGGGTTTTTTTGGGCTATAGGGCCATGTTCTAGAGGCATTTCTCCTGACGTTTCGCCTGCATCTATGGCAAGCATCCTCAGAGGTAATAATAATAATCTCTATTTGTACTCTGCCACCATCTTCCCAAAGGGGACTCGGGGTGGCTAACATAAGGCCAAGCCAAAATTACAGTACAGTAAAATGAAATACAGAGAAACAAAAATACCATCAAAATAAATACATGAAATAACAAAATAAACAGTTTCAAAATAACATGATAGAGAAATAGAACCCAGTGGGCGGGCCAAATGTACTAGGATAAAATTAACACATAATGTAGTGAAATTACTGAAAAAGAAGTGCCAAATATAAGAAGTCTCAGTTTGGGGACCCTTGACATAACTCACCAGGCAACTTAAAGGCACATGTGCACACATAATGCCCCTTACTTGCCTGTGAGAATTACTTACAACCCATTTTAGAAACATTAACTGAAAGAAGTTGGATAAACATAATTAAATAACGCTTTCCAAAGCAGAAGGCTGTATAATCTAAAGAAAACGAAACAAACAAACAAGAACCCAGCACCATCTGTATTTAGGAATTACTATAATAAAATGAGAGCATTAATTGAGTAGCAACATTAAAAGAGTGCTGGATTCTGTCACAGCTCCAACAGTTACATTGATGGTGGTAAAAATACATTAATGGTTTTTTAAAAAGCAATATTTTTAAATACCTCTAATTCTGTTGTGTCAAGATTAGCTTTTTTGGAGTATTTGAGGAAGTCCTATAAAAAAAGAGAAAATATAAAATGAGACTGATGTTCCGTTTATAAAAAAGAGCAAAAAAAAAAAAACCAAAGCAAAACAACTCCACACCTCAATAAGAAAGTCTTTTTTTTCCAGAAATGCCCAATTATCTAACATTCCATTCCGGAATTTCTAGAACCAGAGCTTTAGCTAAACTAATACACTACCTGAAATCCCAAACATATGAAATAGTATATCTTTCCTGATTTTATCTGATTTTATATAACCTTCACTTTGTTGTATTATGTTGGTGCGTCTGTAAGTAATCAATAACTTCAAACTATAGGAAAGGAGATTCCACTTGAACATTAGGAAGAACTATGAGAGCTGTTCAGCAGTGGAACTCTCTGCCCCAGAGTGTGGTGGAGTCTCTTTCTTTGGAGGCTTTCAAGCAGAGGCTGGATGGCCATCTGTCTGGGGTGCTTTAATGTGATTTTCTTGCTTTTTGGCAGGGGGTTATACTGAATGGCCCAAGAGATCTATTCCAACTCTATGATTCTATGTGCTTGTATCACTTTCTTTTTGCATGTGTATCTTTCATAAGGAGTTTGTTTAACCTCTGGTTTTCTGGTAAAACTGAATTATATGTAATGTCACAAAACTATCCATATCTAAAAAGTGTGTTACCAAAATGAAATGTTTAGTAAGCTTTGTAGTAGATATTGCTCCTCATGTAAATAAGGTATGAAAAAAAAATATTTTAAAAAGTGCTCCAAATGCTACACATTGCAACTGATAGCATCCCATGTGACTTACCTTTAGTAACAATTGATATTTCATAATTCTTTGCACTGGCTTTATCAGCAAATCTGTAAGCTGAAGTCTATGACCCAAACGCTGCTTCAGGTCCTAGTAGCAACAAGAGAAAGTTTAGAGAATAGAGGAAAGCTCTTTAATTTAAGAGGAAACATTTTCAAAAAGACTATCATAGGTCTGTAGAAACCCATCCTGAGTCTAAATTCTCCTTCCGATTTCCCCATTGCTTCCCTTATTCTTAGTTTGCCGCTGTATTTAGAAACAAAATGAATCACCAAGAAATCATTTTTTCCCCAAAACATTATACATAAGTGTGAGGTGCAAATCTTCCTTAACTTCATTCTACCCAAATCTACAAATAAAAATAAACCAAAGCCAATCTCCCATCCACCCATCTCTCTCTTTGACTAAAAATATTTATCTCCTACACTTGATGTTCTTTTTGCCTTTACAATAACAACAATATTTATTTCGGTTCACAGACCCATCAGTAAACGAACAGTCATTTAAAATTCTCCTATCTCGGGAAAAGTTCATTGTACAAGATACATCTACATGGTTTCAAGTAATACCCCTATCAGGGGTTAATTGCTTCTGTTAGGAATTTTGCCACTATGAGAGTCACCCTGTGGCACTAGAAGATATCTAACAATCCTTTGCAAGGGTTGGTTAGTCATTCAGGACAGGACTGGATATAAAAGTTGGCTAAGTTGCACTGTGTAATAGCAGCACTGCAATAAAATGTATTCTATTGTTTCTATTTCATTTCCTCCACAGGGGCATAGTCTTTGGGAGTGGGGAATTCCAGACAGTCTGCCTTTTAGCAGCTCTGAGGCCTTTGTAAATAGTCTGTGACATGTAGTCACTGTAAAGCTTTTTAGGGGTTCACATGTCTTAAATGGCTCTCTGTCTGGTAAGTTTAGGACTCTGGGGGAGCAAGGTGAATTTGAATGGGCTGTAAGCTATGCAGGGCAATGTCCTGCAACCTTTGCTTCAGGGATTCTTGTGCCATTTTGATTCCCAAAGGGAGCAGAAAAGATGCAGATAGTCCAATTGAGACCACTTTTCTTTCAATCCTCCTCGCCCAAAGGGGTTTGGACGCTTCATAAGGGAGGTGATGTAGTAAACCTGTCCCCAGTTTGAATACAATTGTTTTTAACCAGGCCCTAGTACTCAATGGGCATTCACCAGTTTCTAGAAATAGGACCGCATTTGGTACATAAGAAGGCATATTTAGAAAAGACCCGGAAGTACAACTATATCCTTCTGGCTTTTTCTTTTCCCTTTTATTTTTGTTTCTTTTTTTCCCTTCTTCTTTCTCTTCCCCTTCCCCCTTTTTTCTTTTACATCTTTCATCTTCCCGCTTTCTTTAATTCCATTGTTCACGCACTTTTTATGTAAACTAAAGTTTATTACAGTTGATGACCATATCACAACATGGGGACCCAGTCCCGTACATTCATATCAAACCCAAGGGGTTATACACTTCAAATTTCAACAAATTTTAAAATCTAAGCTAGTTATTAAAACCTAAATCAACCTACAAGATCATCCGACACAGTCTAAAGAGAGGTAGAAAAGAAAAGGTATAGGATATTTGTTTACACTTTTTATGTAAAAGAAATATCCTATACCTTTTCTTTTCTGGAATCTTTTATTCTCAATAAAAAACAATTTAAAAAGAAGAAGATCTTATAAACTCTATCTAGGCTAACAGCTGAATTTTCACACCATATGGTTGCATCAAAGAGGAGTTTAGAGGCTGTTTTGGCAATGAAAAAATTTAATGCAGAGGGGACGTATTGTCCTCCTTTGGTGTAATAAAACCTTATTATAGCTGCTCATTTTTGCCTTTATGTTCAAGCTGACAAACATTGTGAATAGGATCCTACCTACTCAGTTCAACAGGATAAATATCTTTTTATCAGTTCTAAGTATTACATTTCTATTCATTCCCTCCCACCTTTTATTTGGCCCTCTTTGGGCCAGTGTGTAAAAGCAGTTGGAGGCCTGAATCCAGATTATTATGACAGAATTGTAAAATTCATTTAGATGAATCAATGTCATGTGACCTTCCAAAATCTCATGAGGACTATTTGGTGAAATTATATTTCAAAAAGTAATGCAATGCATCAATTAATTTGGTCAGAGCATTTATTGAATTTCAGAGCTCTAGAGGAGGGAGACGAATCATTACTTTGGCAACAACAGACAACTTCACTCTGATTCTCGTAACTCAAGTGGAGCAAAAGTATCAGATACAATAAAAACGAGTTTGGGAAAGATTATGGACATTCCCGTCAACCCAGAGGCATGCACACTTCCTGCTATTTTGGCACTTACCTCAAAAAATGTATCAATGTATTCTGAGACAATATGCTCAGACTTTGGTTTGTTTTGGCAGTAAACTATGTACATGTGCAATCTTCTCTCCTAGAAGAGAGGGAAATGAAGATTTATTGAATATATATAGAATGAAAATTTAGATAGAATGAAACAATGACAAATTACTACAGTACTTGTACGGGCTGTCTTGAACACCATATATATCACTACATCTACAAGTTATGTGTGTGTGTTTATTCCATTACCATGGATATCATCAAGAAAGATGGAAGCCAAAATGTCTAACGCTTAAAGAAACATCTGTCATTTTACTAAATCCATTTTAAATCTATACTATTCTTCTGGGACCCAAAACCTACCGGAAAACAGTTGTTTTTCCCCTTGATACTTATCAGTCTTTCTATCTGAACATCATGTATCCTGTCTGAGGTCTTCATCATATGTGTGCTCACAAGCACTTGGAGAAATCAAGGATGAAACAGCCTATACATGTGTATAGCCAACAGTGATATATGGAAGAGTGGCCACATTTTCTGCCACCAGGAGCAAGGGAAAGTGCTGTCACTATAGCCATGTTCCACGCAGCATAAACTTTTGTTATCTACACAGCAGTGTACCCTGAAACATTTGTAAATAAATTAGTGGAGAAGACCAACACTATCTGTTAACTGGCTGGAAAGCAGGTAGCTGTGATTGACATTGTCAGGTCATTAAAAAAAATTATGTAGCACAATGAAAAAACTAACATTAAGGTTAAAAACTTGAGAGTGATTTTCAAACTCCAGGAACTCATTCTACTTTGGCTTGTTTGCTAAGAAATCCTTACAATCCACAATAGACCCTAAAACCTGAAAAGTATTATAGGGATGGGAAAACTTCAGGTATTCAGGACTTGTGGCCTACAACTCCCATCAACACTATACAGAATAGATGGTGACAAGGGATTGTGGAAGTTTTGGCAAAACATAGGGAAGGCCAAAGTTTCTTATGTTGCAAACAGGGTGCAAACAGAAACAAATTGGGTAAGTAACAGTCCTTTCTGGCATATTCTACAGCCCACTAGAATATGCCATCTAGAATAATAATAATAATAATAATAATAATAATAATAATAATAATAATAATAATAATATACTTTGTGTTGTTGAAGGCTTTCATGGATAGAATCACTGAGTTGCTGTCAGTTTTCCAGGCTGTATGGCCATGTTCCAGAAGCATTCTCTCCTGATGTTTTGCCCACATCTATGGCAGGCATCCTCATAGGTTATGAGGTCTGTTGGAAACTGGGCAAGTGAGGTTTATATATCTGTGAGCTCTTGTTTATTTGATTCAAGTGTGAATGCTGTAATTGGCCACTTTGATTAGCAGCTTCAAAGCCTGGCTGGTTGCTACCTGGGGGATCCTTTGTTGGGAGGTGAAAGCTGGCCCTGACTGATTCTTGTCTGGAATTCCCCTGTTTGCTAAGTGTTTTCTTAGCCATTAAATGTGAATCAAGATGGCTAATTGCAACATTCACACTTGCCTCAAACAGACAAAAGCTCTTTCTCCCACCATGGACATTCCACAGATATGTAACCTTGCCTAGTTTCCAACAGACCTCACAACCTTTGAGAATGCCTGCCATAGATGTGGGTGAAATGTCAGGGCAGAATGCTTCTGAAACATGGCCATACAGCCCGGAAAACTCACAGCAACCAATAATACATTTTATTTATATTCCACTTTATCTCCCTGGAGCAGGCCCATAGCCAGGATTTTGATTCGGGGGGGGGGCTGAGTCTCAGTGAAAGAGGGTCTACCCTAGCAAACCTTTTGTATCATTACCCCAATACCCCCATGCATATGGGATATAATGAGTATGGTGATCAGATCATGATATGAATAAACATAACAGTTTAAATAATGCACCAGTAAGGCCTTCTTGCGGACCACCATGAAAATTTCGGGGGGGGGGGGCTGAAGCCCCTCAAGCCCCCCCCCCAGCTACATGCCTGCCCTGGAGGGACTCAGAGTGGATTACAATACACATATGAGGCAAACATTCAATACATTCACACACTGAACAGCGACAGAAAAACAGACAAAGTTAAAGGCCTTTCTCTTTTTTCCACCTCCAACTATGTGAAGCCCAATACTCCCTTTTGTCTGTGCAAGCAAGCAAGTGAAGAGTATGTTTATATGATAAAATTATTTTAAAAAACCAATCTATTGCAGTCACAGAATGGGAAGTATTTAGGTGAATGGCAGCAAGGGCAATCTATATATTGTTCAATATGTTGTGAAATATCTAGATCCATAATCAAAACAGCTTTTGTACACGAGATGGAGAAGATGCTCACACTTACATGTTTAACAAAAAGTGATCCCAATTTTTCTGGCTCCTCAAGGCACTTCTCTAATTCTCCTAAAAAGAAACTGTTCAGGAAAAAGAAAAAGAGCAAAAAAGACAGTTATTTTTTCTGGTATCATTATGCCATAGTTACAACAGTTTGGCTGCATTTTTCTATGCAAGGGAACTGCAAGGAAACATTGCAGAAGATGCATTGGAAAACACTTGGAAGAGGCTGACTGGAGTCATTCTGTTATCCTTAAGCGCCACACTACTCAAGTTGTCCCTCCACATTTGCAGTTGCAACTTTTGCAGATCTGAATATTCAATTTAATTTAAAATGTTCTCTCGTGGAATCTGTAGGCCCTCAACTGTAAATTTATGATCAATTTCCTCCAGTCATGCTGCAGGTCCTGAAGAGAGAACAACTCTTTAGAACCCAGGCATTACTAGAGCGCTCTTCTGTCAGGTGAAAAATAGCAATTTCTTTTTTTTCATGGTTTTTCACTTTTATGGTTCCCCTAAACCTGTCAAATACGAAGAGGAATTGGACTAGATGGCCTTAAATATTTTCTGTTCGTCACGGGGGTTCTGTGTAGGAAGTTTGCCCCAATTCTCTCGTTCGGGGGTTCAGGATGCTCTTTAATTGTAGGTGAACTATAAATCCCAGTAACTACAACTCCCAAATGTCAAGATGTATTTCCCCCAAACTCCATGTTCATATTTGGGCATTTGGAATATTCGAGCCAAGTTTGGTCCAGACCCATCATTGTTTGAGTCCACAGTGCTCTCTGGAAGTAGGTGAACTACAATTCCCAAACTCGAGGTCAATGCCCACCAAACCCTTCCAGTATTCTCTGTTTGTCATTGTTATATGTGCCAAGTTTGGTTCAATTCCATCATTGGTGGAGTTCAGAATGCTCTTTGATTTTAGGTTAATTATAAATCCTAGCAACTACAACTCCCAAATGACACGATTCATTTGTTTGAGTGATGGTCAGTCCTTGGGTTAGTAGGTGTCTTGTGGCCAAATTTGGTGGCAATTCATCCAGTGGTTTTCGAGTTATGTTAACCCCACAAACGAACACTACATTTTTATATATATAGATACTCTTTTTTTCTAGATGTGAGAATCAAAGAGCAACAGCAATGAAATCTGCTAAAGAGATCTCCTCTAGGGCTCCTCTGAAGCACAGAATATGGATATGGGGCTCCTCTCAAATAAAGAAACTATCAATATGTATTCCCTACGCTCCCAGTAACAGAGGTAAATAACCAGAGCTGGACATGGTGGATGGAATTACATGTCAAGACACTCTCATTACTTCCAAACCTGAGCAAAGGCAAGCTGAAGAATTATCTCCAACCTCCACATCGAGGGAAAAGGGAAATTCCAATGTAGATGAATCATGTTGCAGGACACTGCGTCAAAAGCTATGAAACTGGATTAAAGCCAAGGGCTGTCTATAAAGAAGTAACCACCACTCACCCACAGACATGTTAAAATAGGGGGGAAGAGACGGATGGCCATTTGGGGCCTTAATGATTATTGGAATCTAGTCCTTCCAGCCAAATATTCTACAGAAATGGCTGAATCCCATCTGAAATGCCTTGGGTTGTGTGAATAGTCCACCAGACTGTTATTCTTAGTGGTAGACTTTCCAAATTTAAGGGTCTCAGACAATTATGGCAAAAGCCAGTGTCATTCTCATCAAACTTTTCCAACTGACAAATGCAGGGACATGAAGTTTTTAGCTGAGGTTACATTTTCAGCTATAAATTGAGACTGAAGAATAGACTTCCCTGTAATCAGAAGAAATAAAGCTACTAACCACATAGCAGACTATCCTTAAGCACAAGATAGATTCAAAAGGAAGGGGGTGATGTAGACCCAGAGGACAACTTTGTATGGTTCAAGGCAAGCGTTTCTGCCATTAGGACCTTTAGAGGCTGCATGGACCATCACAATCTATCTATGTATATAGAAGTCCAAGTATATGTGTCTGTCCTACAAAGGCTATTGCTAGGTGACAATCCAGTGGCCCTTTGTGATGTCATTGGATTGGCTGTGGCTAGGTGAAGAATTGGCTGTTGCTAGACGACGTGGATCTTTAGGATGTCACTGGGAAAGAAAGGTGATATGTATGAGGGTAAGGAAAGAAGGAGGAGACACGATGGAAACATTGCGAAGTATGACCTCTCAGAGCTGGAGAAGGGAGAAAAGGGAGGGGAAGGAAAGGAAGAAAGAAAGAAAGAAAGAAAGAGGAAAGGATAAGGGAGGGAGGGAGGGAGGGAGGGGGAAAGAAAGAAAAGAGGAAAAGTATGAGGGGAAGGAAATAGAAAGAAGGGATGAAAGCAGGGGGCAGTGACCACTTCCAATACCCAGGCAATGCCAGGTAGATATGCTAGTTTTTAAATCAGTGTTTCGCAATCTTCCTAATGCCGCGACCCCTAATATAGTTCTTCATATTGTGGTGACCCCCAACCATAAAATTATTTGTGTTGCTACTTCATAACTTTAATTTTGCTACTGTTATGAATTATAATGTAAATATCTGATATGCAGGATGTATTTTCATTCACTGGACCAAATTTGGGACAAATACCTGATACGTCCACATTTGAATACTGTTGGGGTTGTGTGTGTGTGTGTGGGGGGGGGGGATTGATTTTGTCATTTGGGAGTTGTAGTTGCTGGGATTTATAGTTCACCTACAATCAAAGAGCATTCTGAACTCCACCAACGATGGAATTGGACCAAACTTGGCACACAAAACTCCCATGACCAACAGAAAATACTGGAAGGGTTTGGTGGGCATTGACTTCTGACTTCTTGTAGTTCACCTACATTTAGAGAGCACTGTGGACTCAAACAATGATAGATCTGGATCAAACTTGGCATGAATACTCAATATGCCCAAATGTGAACACTGGTGGAGTTTGGTGAAAATAGACCTTGAAGAGTAGAGACATCAGAGTAGAAGAGTAGAGAACAGTATAAGAGTAGAGACATCACACTGGCAACGAAGATCCGCATAGTTAAAGCAATGGTATTCCCGGTAGTATCCTACAGATGTGGGAGCTGGACCATAAGAAAGACTGAGTGAAAGAAGATAGATGCTTTTGAACTGTGGTGTTAGAGGAAAATTCTGAGAGGGCCTTGGACCGCAAGAAGATCCAATCAGTCCATACTTCAGGAAATAAAGCCCGACTGCTCATTGGAGGGAAGGATATTAGAGGCAAAGTTGAAGTATTGTGGCCACATCATGAGAAGACAGGAAAGCTTAGAGAAGACAATGATGCTTGGGAAAATGGAAGGAAAAAGGAAGAGGGGCCGACCAAGGGCAAGATGGATGGATGGTATCCTTGAAGTGACTGGCTTGAATCTGAAGGAGCTGGGGTGGTGATGGCCGACAGGGAGCTCTGGCGTGGGCTGGTCCATGAGGTCACGAAGAGTCAGAGGCAACTGAACGAACAAACAACAACAAGACCTTGACATTTGGTAGTTATAGTTGCTGGGATTTATAGTTCACCTACAATCAAAGAGCATTCTGAACCCAACCAGCAATAGAATTGGGCCAAACTTTCCACACAGAACCCTCATACCTTGAAGGGACTAGCTGGCGCGAGCCTATCTCCAGACTCGAATGCTCTCCCTCTCTCTCATATACGCACCATGCTCCTATGCACCAAGCATGGCTGCTCTCCCTTCCGTGCTTGGAGTTTCAGAAACAGCCCTCTCTTAGGCTGAGAGGCTGGCTAATCACAGCAGAGGAGGGCTTTTGGTGGGAGGATTCGCTGTCTGTTTCCAAAAAGGAAGAGAAGGACAGGCGGACAGATCTTCAACCTTCTCTGCCAAAGGATTTCCTAAGACCATCAGAAATATATGTTTTCTGATGGTCTTTGGTGACCCCTCTGAAACCCCTTCGCAACCCCCCCAGGGGTCCTGACCCCCAGGTTGAGAAACACTGGTTTAAATAAAACAAACCAGGAGTGACTCAAAGTCTACTTCTTATTTTCATATTTTTAATATTAAACAGTCCAGTGAGCCTGTAATACATCTAAAAGGCGAATCACTGCCCCTGGAGACTTCCAGGAAAAACATGTTATCCTTCCTACTAAAAAAAAATGGTCTCTGGGAATTTGGGACCACAAAGGCCAGATGTATTCTAGTGTTGTACTCTGCTCATCCATTTAGACAAAGCTGCATGGGATACACAATGAAAACTGATAATCAGAAGCAGACTGCAGATGAACCAGCATGACACTGGAAAAGACTGGTTTACAGATGTAAGCACAATGTGCTGCTCGGGTGATGAAAGCCTAAAGGCATTTCCAATACTATCCTTTTCCCAACAGCTTCCACTAGCAGAAGTGCCATTCTTTTTGGAAAATGTACCAAAAGGAATCAGGACAGTAATAATAGAAGCCATATCGGTAAAATAGATCTGTGTGGTTGTATGATTTGTTTGATTTCCAATGACAATACTGATGCTAGACCTGCAAAGAAACTGTTCTTTAAAAGAGAAGAAATGGAAAAGTCAACAGAAAAGACAAATATCACTCTCCTTTTCCTTCCATTTTCTTGTAATAGCCCCAAATTTCCTCTGTATTTGGATTTCTACCCTACCTGCTTGCTGAATTACTATGTTATTTGTCAAAAAACAGCAAAAGTGACTCATTCACCTTAATTTTTTAATAAGGCCAATTGATTTTCATTTTGAGCATCTTTAAACAACTTAAAGTGATTCTGCCCACTTCTTCAGAATTATGGAAGATTAAATATAAAAAGAAAACAAGTTAAAAATAAAAAACATACATACTCTCTGTGCCAGTCATATATTTGATGAATGTTGCCAAACACAATTTTGTCTTTCCCTTTCATGTCGTCAGGAACACCATCTTCTTTCATGAGAGCCATGTAACCCTGAAATAAATTAGCAATAACAATGACAATATCTTTATTTTCTTATATATATGCAACACAGTTAACAAAGTAGACATGCTTCTGAAAATTACTTCTTTAACAGAAAATTTGGCACTAGAGGTAGATCTGTGACAGAGAGAATAGGGATGAGTCCCTATACTACAAAAAAGATGAACAGTGGGTTGTTGTAGGTTTTTTCGGGCTATGTGGCCATGTTCTAGAGGCATTTTCTCCTGATGTTTCTCCTGCATCTATGGCAAGCATCCTCAGAGGTAGTGAGGTCTGTTGGAACTAGGAAAAAAGGTTTATATATCTGTGGAATGACCAGGGTGAGACAAAGGACTCTTGTCTGCTGAAGCTAGGTGTGAATGTTTCAACTGACCACATTCACACCTAGCTCCACCAGACAAGAGTCCTTTGTCTCACCCTGGTCATTCCACAGATATAGAAACCCTTTTTCCTAGTTCCAACACACCTCACTACCTCTGAGGATGCTTGCCATAGATGCAGGCGAAACGTCAGGAGAGAATGCCTCTAGAACATGGCCATATAGCCCAAAAAAACCTACAACAACCCAGTGATTCCGGCCATGAAAGCCTTCAAAAATAAGATGAACAGTTCTTACAGGTAAACAAAAAGATTTTGAACCTTCCTCCTGTGTCTATGCCATCAAGTCATCTGCTGATTTATGATGATCCCATTAATTTCACAGCATTTTCTTACGCAAGAACTACTCTGAGATGGTGTTGCTAGTTCTTTCTTCTGAAATATAGTCTACAGTACCTGGTAGGCATTGGGAATCTCAGATCCAAGTATTGATCACAGCCAACCTTGCTTAGCTTTCAAGACTTTCTAGAGAACACTAAAATGCTTTTCCCACAACACATTCAGGGATATTATTGGGGTTTTTTTCACCAGTCACCCATTTTCTCACAATTTCTATGGCCAGACTTAAAGATCTGTGTTTTTAACTTTCTGGAGATAGCTGAGGAAGCAGGTTTATCTTCTTGTCCCATTTTTCTTTTTTGCTCTTTACTTATACTCAGATATTCTGGAGGCAGCTGCTGTTTTGACATTCCTCAAAGGTTTACATTTTTGGATTGTAAAGACTTAATGACATCTTCTTTCCACTTAAATTTTAATGTTCTTGTTATAATGATAGATGTTTACTTCCAAATATCTTATTTTTGGTGGTAGCTCAGGGGAAATTTTCAGTTCTAAATTTCACCACTAGACAATATCATTAATAAAGTGTCACAAAAATAAAATATTCACTCCTCCTTCACTATCCTAATTTTTTTTTTTTGTCTGAAAGACATCTTTAGGGGTTCCAGGGGACAATTCTATTGTGGTAGGGAGGGCCTGTAAAAGACTTCCCCCCCCCAAAAGGAAATGCTTGAGTTCACAAAAAGGTCTAAAACAGGTCAAACTTCTTCCACAAAACACGGCCAAGTTGTCTTTGTGGCCCCTTGCAACAAGGTACTTCAGGGTACGTGATTTGGAAGGGGATATTTAATGCCTCAATATTCCAAGTACCGGTAATATATTGCTGATGGCTAACAACGGGAGCTCACCCCGTCCGCAGATTCGAACCAGAAATCTTCTGATCAGCAAGTTCTATAGCTTAGCAGTTTAACCCGCTGCACCACCATGTCCCCCTATTGACAAATTTTATTGTCCCCCTATTTTATTGTATCTGTAAATACCACTGATTTGAGCTATCTTAATTGGGAGTAAACTGGATTGAGACAATATAGGTTTCCCAAAACAGTGCTTGCATTGTCTTCCATAAAGAACTAGTTGGAGGAAAGTGGTGTGTTTTTCTACACTTCCGAAGTAATCTGTTATACCTGAAGGAAATCACAATCATTTTACCAGAATGAAACATACCTCTACTATGTAGCCAAGATCCCTTACGTAATCTCTTTCTGTTTCCACTAATTCTTGTAGGACATAGCTGCAAAAGTAATGATAGGTTTATTTATTTATCGTGTCAGGAGCAAACCAAACAGCTGTATTGCATTTTTAACAAACAATGATAGGTGGAAAATATTAAAAGAAGAGCTTAACAATATAAACCAGTCTTTGTTGATGTAGTGCCCTCAAAAGCCACCCGTAACTTGTATGGTGAGTTAAAGGCACGTTCTTTATTAAGTGCAATGGGGGAACTTTCTGGTTGTATTATGTTCTAATAAGAAAGAAAAATATGGAGGACTAGCCCAATAACAAGTATTTGTTAAACTGTTAATTCACTGACACTTTTCGAAATATCACAATGTAGTACCAACACTAAAGCTTTTTTCAAACACTCAAATTACATGTACAAAAATTACTCAAAAAGTACCAAATTGTTGACTACTTGACTCTCTTAGAAAGAGGTTTCTATTCAAACCAGCTAGTACCCCAGATATTTGGAAATACTCCACAATGCATAGTCAAGAAAGTAGAAATTAATACACCAATCTTACTGTCGTCTTTTTAAAGAGCTGGACTTTCGTTCTTCCATCTCATCCATCGGTGACGAGGAGGACAGAAGTGAATTGTCGGAGGGATTGAATGATGGGCTGCTGCTATCACCCTGGTCGACCATCAGCGAACTTGGACGATCCTCCAGAGCCTGCGGGTAAATTGGTAAGTGTGGTTTACTCTCTTTAGACTGCATTTTACAGTTAAAGAACAAATGGGCCATTTATTGCTCTTAAATGTCCTAAATTGTTACTGGTATTTCCACTATGTGGATACCAGAATTCTCCTCTTCCCATCCAGTCTGCCACTATGCAAACAGTGCAGCTGCAGGGTATCTCACAATGCATGCAGCAATATTTTGGGATCAGAGAGTTTCCTGTCTTCCTCACCCAAATGTCTCTCTGGGTCACTGATGCAATGATTAAAGATCTTATCAGATGGGGCTTACGCACGGAGCCGCCCGGTTCCTATCCCATAATGGAGAGGAACTTCAGATGGGGTTTTGTGGGTAAACTATCATGGAACTGGTGTATGCTGCCGTGGCAGCAACTTGGATGGCTTCCTGAATTGCACCAGCAACAATGGGGGGAAGCAGGGCAGTTGATGCCCCCCCCCCCCCGCCGTGGGATGGGGACAGGTGAGTCAGGCGTGGGATGACCGGTTCCCACTGCCCCCATATGGTCATGGAGATTCTGGCAGCACATTTGATGGGGTTGTAATTGTATTCAAGAGAGATATTGACAAGCTGGAATGTGTCCAGAGGAGGGTGACTAAAATGATCAAGGGTCTGAAGAACAAGCCCTATGAGGAGCAGCTTAAGGAGCTGGGCATGTTTAGCTTGAAGAAGAGAAGGCTGAGAGGAGATATGATAGCCATGTATAAATATGTGAGAGGAAGCCACAGGGAGGAGGGAGCAAGCTTGTTTTCTGCTTCCTTGGAGGTAGAACAATGGATGCGGAACAATGGCTTCAAACTACAAGAGAGGAGATTCCACCTGAACATGAGGAAGAACTTCCTGACTGTGAGGGCCGTTCAGCAGTGGAACTCTCTGCCCCAGAGTGTGGTGGAGGCTTCTTCTTTGGAAGCTTTTAAACAGAGGCTGGATGGCCATCTGTCAGGGGTGATTTGAATGCAATATTCCTGCTTCTTGGCAGGGGGTTGGACTGGATGGCCCATGAGGTCTCTTCCAACTCTTTGATTCTATGATTCTATGTGTCTAATTCCAAGAGTCCAGGCAGAGGACTTATCTGCAGTATTAATATCCTTTCAAGGAAGATCCCTGTGATCAATGCTGAAGTGTGTACATAGGACACCAATTTACCTCTGCAGCCATTCTGTGAAATTTTAAGCCAAAGAACTGGTGATAGTTACTAGCTTATATGCCTGTTTTGAAAAAAGGAGAAAGAAATCTGATAATTTTCAGAAATACAGCTCTATTGGTCTGACCTGATCAGGAATCTGAATAGCAAATGCTAGATAACATGGAAGACATGTTGCCCTCTGTAAAATACGACGAATAAATATATATATAAAACCAGGTCAATGAGGAGACTAAAGTAGTGGTGGTGCGTGTAGCTGAGGCTTGACTTTTAAAATGTTTTTACTTGATGCACTTTTTTAAAGGAGTAACTAATTACCCCAGCCAGAATCCTTTCTTCCAATATCTTCAGCCACCTTCTTCTGAGGTAAGTCTTCTTCTCAATAAATGGACATGAGTCTTAATTATAAAGAACTGATCGAGGAAATATTTACTTATGGATTCACAGGTGTACAATGTTTGATGGTTGTTCTGTATTCCTTTAAATGTTGTTGCAGTTGACTTTAGTTAAACAGTTTCCAATATGACTCTCAGTATGGCTTTTACTTCCACCAGACTGGTTTTAACGTATTTCACTGCGAAGTATCTTTCTTTTCTTAACTGACAATTCAAGGCACTAACTTGCCCTTTTCACCCTTCAGCTATCCCCACTGAAGTTATGGATTTCTACTGGGGTTTCTTTTCCCCTTAGCTCATGAGCTCATTACTAATTTAAACAGGTCCAATTGACTCTGTAAACACACAGGCTGAAGACTTAAACCCCTGGGTTCAGTTTCTCCACACACCAGAACCCAGCTTCCACTTTTGTCCACTGACTAAAAGAAAACTGACTCTTTTAAAACGCCTGCCCCTCCCAGGTGGCAGTTAGCTCCGCCCCTTTGGCTTCTCTAACTTGGATACATTCTAACAGCCGGTTCCGTCACTATGGCAACGCCTCAGCTCAGGCGACACATAAGCTGGCCTGCACTTATCATATCCCAACATCAATAAACACATTTAAAACATACGTTATAATTAGCTATTTCATTACACCCTCCTATTAATTTTTTAAGCTTCCCAGGCCAATGGTTTGGGAAAAAGTAAGGTATCAATTTGTCCACTGATCTGGAAATACTCTGCTATTCTTATAGTCAACTAGCTGTACCCGCCACGCGTTGCTGTGGCCAACCTTCCCTCCCTCTTTCATTCCTTCCCTCTTTTTTTCTTTTTCTTTCCCTTCTTCTTTCTTCCTTCTCTACATGTTTCTTTTCTCACCTCTTTTGCTCTTTGGTTCCACCCTTCCTTGTCTCTTTCCTTCCTTCTCTCCCTCTTTCTCTCTTTCGTTCCTTCTCTCCTTCCTCCCCTCTTTCACTTTTTTATTTCATTCTCCCCCCTCTCCTTCTCTACTCTTCTTTCTTTCCTTCTTTATCTCCTTCCCTCCTTCTTTCCCTCCATCTCTCCTTCCTTCCTTCTCTACCCTTTTCTTTCCTTCCTTCTCTCCTTCCCTCTTTCTCTTCCTCCTTCTCTCCTTCCTTCCTTCTTTACCTTTCTTTCTTTCCTTCCTTCTCTCCTTCTTTCCCTTCTTCTCTCACAGTTTCTATCCTTCCTTCTCTCCTTCCTTCCTTCTTTACCTTTCTTTCTTTCCTTCTTTCTCTCCTTCCCTCCTTCTTTCCCTTCTTCTCTCTTTCCTTCTCTCCTTCCTTCCATGGGGGGCGTGGCCGGGGGAAGAAGGAGAGGCAGGAGGTAAGGTTGGGGTATGGGCGTTTAGGGGCGTGGCGAGGGAGGGAGGGGGCGTGGCGTGAACGTGGGGGGCGTGGCCGGGGAGGGAGGGGATGTGACGTGGGAGGGAGGAGGCGTGGCGTGAATGTGGGGGGCGCAGCGGGGAGGGAGGGGGTGTGGCGTGAACGTGGGGGGCGTGGGAAGGAGGGTGCGTTGGAAAGAGGGCGAATGGGAGGGTAGGGGCTGGGTGATGGAGGATGGGGCGTGGCTTGCGCGGAGGGTGTGTTGGCCGGCCGGCCATGTGCGTGCGCCGGGGACTTGCGGCGGGGCGCCATTGCACATGCTCAGTTGTTTTGTCTAATTGTGAGCGTGTTTTAATGTTGTTTAGAATTTTGAATCGATTTGTGAATACCTTGTGGGCTGAGGTATGTGCACGGTAAATTTGGTAAATTTTCGTCGGGTTTTTTTTTTTAGTTTTGCTGTCCCGTTGGATGCCCTTTCTCTTTATATATATATATGTAAGATATGTCTAAACTGAGTGTGCCTGGTGTTAGTATGACACCCAGCTGGCCAATGGGTTGGAAAAAAATCCAGAATCAAACTAAAGGAAAGATGCAAGCAAAAACATACTCACCATTTTGCTCTTCACAAGTTCTTCTATTGCACTGACAAGTTCTGCTGCACTGGGAGTCTCTGAGCTAGTAGGACGCACCAATAGCCGAGAAGATGTCTGCATAGTAACGTGAAAGAGGGTGGGGGAAGACACCCATGATAAACGTCAACTTGAGTTTACACACATGATATACAATACTGTTTATAAATATTATTTTTAATGAATGAAACGCCTCTCCTTCCACTTCTATTAAAAATGGCTTCATTTATCAAAAGTACAATAACATCTTTAAACAAAATTCTGGTACTGACAAATGTTAAGCTTCTTCCATCTGTTTCAGCCATTAATAATACTGGGATAGAATCTGGGAAATATTCTTGGCCAACATTTGTCTTCCTATAAAGTCTATCAAACTGACTACACAAAGTCCATACCTGATACACTCACTTATCAAAAGACCTTTTCTCCACCCCTCCCCAAGTCCATCAATAATTATGAAGCAACAGGGGAAAGAACCACAAAAAGTAAACCATGGGACAGACTAAAGACTACTAAACTAACAGCCAATTGATAACTCTACAAGGGAGCAGGGTGGTTTTGCTCACCATTCCTTGTGCCATCCATTTTCCCCCAAGGTAAGTGCAGAGTCTAGAAGATCTCTGGCCTCAAAAGCTACAAGATGCCAATTTATGGCTGCAACTGAGGATAAAAGGAGTTCACAGCAAAGGATTTTGGGAGGGAGTGCGGCCACTGAATTTGACTTTCAGTAATTAGCAAACACGCGAGCCTGTTTGCAGATTACATGTATCATTAAATAACTGGAAGCTAAACAAGGCACAATAATATGAACTTTACTTCATATTACAAGGACAGCACAGATGTACATCATGCAAAACACAGGCTAAGTTGTTCTTCACCACTGGACGGATGCATTCAACCAACAGATACGATGCTTCAGAATGTGAATCTCTGTTCAACCTTCTATATGGGAGGCAGAAGATCAGCCCCACCCCCCATAATTTAAATGATAATATGCAGATTTTAGTGTGCTGTAATTGGCTTCAATGAGACAGAACACTGGGAATGGGGGAAGTGTGAAGAACACACGAGAAAGTCTAAATGGAGAGGTAGGGAAACTGAGCCAAAGCAGAAACGGAACATAAATCAACATAATGCTAAAGGAGGAGATTTTTTTTTCAAAAAGGAAAAAACAAAAGAAAAAAACACAATTAGTTATGCAATAATATAGCAGCTGTCTTAGCAATTTTAATGAAAAAGGCAGAAAACTTAGAAGCTACAGTTTAAACACAATTCATGAAGAATGCAATGATGCTACCAAACAGAAGAACCGCAGTGGTGACAACCAAGTGGTTATTTAGTGACATATAAATTAACGTGGCCCAATAAAGTTCACAGCTGGAAACAGGGATGCTAACTGAATGCAATGGGAGATGACAAATCTAGACAATATCAAGGTCCCTCCCTTTCCTACAAAAACATTGGAACTAGTCAGTCTGTTTACAAAAGTTTTGCCTATACACCGCAAGGCTTTTGAGGATTTTGAGTTACAATGTGCACTGCAGAAATCATCATTTAGGAGACAATTAACAGCTACCCCTCCTTCAGATTTTGGGGAAAGGTATCAAATACTCAGCCCCAATCTGGATTTTTTTTAAAAAAAAAAGAAACATGTAATAATTTCACAAAATGTTGACTCTTTACAGTTGTTTTAGCCCAGTTCTCCTGCATGTAAACAAACTTGCCCTCTATCTCCAGAGGGCTACAGAGACTGGCTTGTCATAAATTCACAATACAAAAACTGAAGTTTTATTCAGATATTGCTTCCCACATTGCACTTCTGGATATGCTAAGACTGGGAACATGCTTCTGGCCCCAAAGTACTTTTTCTGCAGCATGTGGAAAAACACCTAGATTAGAACATGCTTTTTTGAATAAAGTATTATAACTGTGAAACCATGTATGGGGGAAATGAGACAATCCAGATCAGTGGTTCTCAACCTGTGGGTCCTCAGGTGTTTTGGCCTACAATTCCCAGAAATCCCAGCCAGTTTAGCAGCTGTTAGGATTTCGAGGAGGAGGAGGAGGAGGAGGTGAAGGAGGAGGAAGAGGAGAAGAATGAGGAGAAGGAGAAGGAGGAGGAGGAGAAGGAGGAGGAGGAGAAGGAGGAGGAGGAGAAGGAGGAGGAGGAGACGAAGAAGGAGGAGGAGAAGGAGAAGGAGGAGGAGGAGGAGAAGGAGGAGACGAAGAAGGAGGAGGAGAAGGAGGAGGAGGAGGAGGAGAAGGAGGAGGAAGAGGAGGAGGAGAAGTAGTAGTGGTAATAGTAGCAGTAGTAGTAGTAGTAGTATATTTTTCTACCCCGCCTCCATCTCACCGAAGGGACTCGGGGCGGCTTACATGGGGCCTAGCCCAAGGTAACACACAATTAGAAACAGAATAAAATATTAAAACAACATAAGAAGAGCATCATCATAAAAAATAATAAACAACCATCATAAGCAATAACAGAGATACCTCTAGTCTCATTTTTGAGGGAGAGGGAACCAAAGTGGAAATGCGTTAGAGCAGTGGTTCTCAACCTGGGGTCCCCAGATGATTTTGGCCTACAGCTTCCAGAAATCCCAGCCAGTTTACCAGCTGTTAGGATTTCTGGGAGTTGAAGGCCAAAAACATCTGGGGACCCCAGGTTGAGAACCACTGCGTTAGAGGATAGGCTCTAAAACATCTGGAGACCCACAGGTTGAGAACCACTGATCCAGATGTTGTTGGACAGCAACTCCCCTCATTGCACTCCCCAATGCAAATAGAAGTTAGACAAGATCTGGAGGGCCACGTGAGCTCTATTTCTTTACAAAACAGTATAGAGAAAGTGGGAAAGAAGAAGGAAGTGAACAAAACCCACACTTGTTCCAAAAACTTCCTGTGCATACAAGAGAAGGAACATTTTTCCAAAGGCTGATAAAGAGTCTGAAGAGTTTAATCTTTGGTATGTATGAAAGTTAATATTTCAACCAAAACACGCATGACCTAAAACCTGATAAAAATGTGCTATTTAAACAAAAGGTTTTCTGTGAAAGTATCCATAGTGCATATTTCCCAACTCTGTTGGACCCAGCTCTGTAACAGGTAGTCCTCTGTCAGTGCACTGGATATCCTGCAACCCCTAGATCTTGGCCCAAAACTTGTACTTGCAAAATAAGGAAACTAAAATGAGGGCAGAGACTGGGCTTTTGTTTCTCTATTGGAATCTTTCAAGGCAGGTTCTACCATCGTCCTATCCACTCTGGGAGTCCATTTCACTGAGCAGGCAGGAAATCCCCACTGCTATCCAGGATGTGGTTACCTTAACAATGATTAATCTCCCCAGGAGAGAACCACAAGAGTGCTGAAGAAAGAAACCAAAGCTGCTGAAAACATCTGCTTTACAGAGAAAGGTGGCCTGTTGCCAAGAAAATGTACTAGTCAGGGGCTCACGTTAAAAAAATTACTCTCAAGTCCCATACCACTAAATATGTTAAGCAGAACGTGTATTCCTTTTCCCCCCTGGAAATAAATAAATATTTCCTGCAGAACTAAAGTCATGCAAAAAGTGTAAGAGCTTGTAACTGAGAGAGAGAAAGAGAAAGAGAGAGAACAAGACAAATAAACAAAGAAGTTAAGTTCTGTGGGTTTGTTTTTACGTTGAATTTATACGTAAGTCAGAACTTGTAGTAAGTCAGAACAGGGACATTTTAAAGTGAAAAACAAGAAGAATATACATGGAATAGAAAGGGGGGAAGAAAATTAAATCCTGTATTTTTCAGAAAGTTATAAGCTAATCTATTTCTAAGTGCGGTTCTAAGTGCTATTTATAATACCTTCTCTTGGCTGCCTGAAAGATACCAATTTTTGATAAATGCTAAAGAGAAACAATTTACATAAAAAAAGAGAAGGTACAGTGTTTCCCTGAAAATAAGACACTGTCTTATATTGGTTTTTTTCTCGAGAAGACACACTATGGCTTATTTTCAGGGCATGTCTCATTTTTATGAAGTACTAGCTGTCCCCTGCCACGCGTTGCTGTTGCCCAGTCTGGTGATCTGGAAAATAAAGTAATGAGAAAGTGTTGGTTTCTAATATATGTAATGTCTTTATGCTTGTGAGTAAACAGTATTTCTTGCAGTTTCTTTGCCAGTGTTGATGTGGAGATTGTCTGGCTTGCCTACTCTGGAACATGCAAATCATAATCCTTCTTTAAGGGTCTCTTTTAAATCTATAATACTATATCTGTGTGTGTGTGAGAATCATATCTATCTATCTATCTATCTATATTTACGACTGGATGGCTCTGATTACATTACTACAAATCCCAAATGTCTATTTCCTCCAAACTCCATCTGTGTTTATATTTGGGCATATGGAATATTCGTGCCAAGTTTGGCCCAATTCCATCATTGGTGGAGTTCAGAATGCTCTTTGATTGTAAGTAAACTATAAATCCCAGCAACAACAATTCCCAAATAACAAAATCAATTTTTTTGAGTGGAGGACATACATTGGATTGTTAGGTGTCTTGTGTCCAAATTTGGTGTCAATTCCCCCAGTGGTTTTTGAGTTCTGGTGGTAGCACAAATGAACATTACATTTTTATTTATATAGATGGTACAACAATCTACATTTATTCAAATATAATTAAATAGTCGAAGGAGCGGGTGAGAGACTGAGAAGGCAGGCGAGGTCGCGCAAGGGAGGGGAAAGAGGGGGAGGAGGAGCCGGCTCTTCCCTCAGCAGGTGATGGAGGAAGCTGGTGGGAACTGGTTGGGAGAGGCAGGCAGGCAGGCCGACCGGAGCGAGGGAAGGAGGGTGGGTGCATAGTAGGCATGGGCAATCCATGGCTCTAAATAGTGCTAAAGTACTTACAAAATTAGGGAATGCTGGTGCTTTGCTTCTACAGTGTTCTGGTGGTGAAAATTTCAGTATTATTTCATTATTGGTGATTTTTATGACAGAACCAATTAGGAACTGCCATTTATAATGACATTTTGAAAGTTTTGTTAGAGTTCTGAAATTTTCACCACCAGAACTTTAGCAACAATGTAGAAGCAAAGCACCAGCGCCCCTAGTCTTGTAAGTACTTTAGAACCATAGATTGTCCATGCCTAGTGCATAGCCATGCCTATCACTACGTCTTATTTTTGGAGCATGGTTTATATTGCACAAATGCTTAGAAATCCTGCTATGACTTATTTTATGGGTATGACTTATTTTTGGGGAAACACGGTATGTCTCCAGGTGCTCTGGAGATAATCTTTATTTTCATTTTTAAACATGCCCAATATGTTTGTACCTTTGTAATAATTCTGAGGATCTTCTAAAACATAATACATTACTGGTTTTTGAAAATTACTTACAACATACAAAATTAGCAGCAGAAATTTCTAAAAAACTGCTCGACAGCCAAAACACCCCCCCCCCAAAGAACTAGATCTGAAGTTTTTATTTAAATTTTACAGATGGTCAAAAAGGGGGAGCGAAAGAAAGGGGCTTTCAAGACAGCTTTCAAGAATATATCATGTAACCGGGCTAGAAGAAGAACTAAGTGAATGTACAGACATGGGAGAAGATAAAATGTCATTATTTAGTTCATTGCATGATAATGGGGCTCTATGTAGTCATGGTGGTCACATGATCTTGGAGGTGTCTATGGACAACGCCGGCTCTTCGGCTTAGAAATGGAGATGAACACCAACCCCCAGAGTTGTACACAACTGGACTTAATGTTAGGGGAAAACCTTTACCTTTACTACGATAAACAAAGTTCAACCTGTGAATAACCTAGCTATGCCACACCAAAGAAGAAACTCTATGTACATGAAGCCTCCTAATTTGAGATAGAGAAGAAGGGATGAACAGACCTTTTTTAAGGTGTCAGAGAGATGCAAAGAAAAGAACAGATAAGTATGATGATAGTCTTAACGTCCAGAAAGACACACCTGAACATATGTCCCCATTCTTCAGAATGGTAGAGACAATTTTCCTCTTTAACATAGGCCTTCAGAATACTGGACTGGGTTGATCTGCTGTGTAAGGATACTATAGATCTGGTTGTGTTAATTACACCTATGGATGTATACTAAGAGTAGAGTATGTGCACTGAGCACAGGTTTCAGTTTTACAAAGAGAGCAATGTGATGAGAAGATATCCTGAAAAACAGCACAGGTAATGCTGGCTTATATCTCAAGAGGCCATAGTAAAATTGAATTGAATTTTATCAGTACGGTCACAGACTAGGGTTGTTTAGTAAACTGAGAATTATTCATTAGAGCAAAATGAAGAAAAAAGCAAAACTAAATTATGCAGATCTGCTTATGTAGCATAATTTATGCATCATCCCTATTTTTTTAATACAAACTTGGAACTGCCTCCACAGAAAAATTTATTGTCAACAGTCTCCTACATGTGAGTCATTTACTCACTTCCAAGGCTATTCATTTGAAGCTCGTATTTCTCTGCCATGTGCTAGGTGTGACACTACTGAATTTGGACTCTAGTCAAGTTATGCTGCCATGAACAGAGGTGTTCTCTTTCATTTCATTTACCTTGTCATCCTGAGAGTCTGGTTGGAGTAGACTGTGCTGCTGAATTGCCATTGGAGGAGGAAGTGGCACAGCATCAGCTCCTTCTTCACCTTCTTCCTCTCCGCAGCTCTGCATGCCCGAGGAAGATGATTTGGAGAGCGTACCACTGCTCAAGCCCTCATTTCGCCCTCTCTGCCAATATAACATCAATAATAATGTTAACAATTAATCTAGTGCTCTACACAGTGCTGAAAATGTCTCATAGATGATTTCTCATTAATACAACAGACCTACCCAGTAGGGCAATACTTCACACTTTAAAATTCCCAGACTTGTGAGCTCTTTGCAGACCCTTTCACTCTCATAATATTTATTTGGCAAGGTTCAACTCATTTTAACCTTCTGGTGAATGAAGAAATAATTTCCAGCATTCTGCTTGGGTTATGGAAACACATTACACTATGTAACAAGATTTTTGTTCCTGGGTTATAAATGTCATTTCCTAATTGGTTCTATCATAAAAAAAACATGGGAAAAGTTTATTAAACTGCAAAAACTTTGTTTTTGCGGGACATCCTGCAGCACATTTGCTCTAAATATCTCATAGAGTCTCAACCAATTCAACATAGTTTGTGGCAGCCACAAAAATGAAGTTTCTGGAGTATAACAAGTACTTTCAAAGTAAGTACTGCACAATTGCCATACTTGGGGTTGCAGTGGCACGGTGGGTTAAACTGCTAAGCTGCAGAACTTGCTGACCAGAAGGTCAGCGGTTTGAATCCATGGGATGGGGTGAGCTCCTCTTGCTAGCCCCAGCTTCTGCCAACCCAGCAGTTTGAAAACATGAAAATGTCAGTAGATCAACAGATACCACTTTGCAATACACCCTGACCTTCTTTCCAATTTAAAAATATCAAGGGCTCTCCTGGTGGCACAGTGAGTAAAACCACTGAGCTGCTGAACTTGCTGAAAGAAAGGTCGGCTGTTGGAACCCAGGGAGTGGGGTGAGCTCCTGCTGTTAGCTCCAGCTTCTGCTAACCTACCAGTTCAAAATCATGCAAATGTGAGTAGATCACTAAGTACCACTTCTGCAAGAAGGTAACAGCACTCCATGCAGTCATGCTGGCCACATGACCTAGGAGGCGTCTATGGACAATGTTGGCTCTTCGGCTTAGAAATGGAGATGAACACCACTCTTCAGAGTCAGACTCGACTACACTTAATGTTGAGGGGAAATCTTTACCTTTACCATTACTGCACAATTAAACAGGAACAACACTTTCAAACCAGGAGCAGAAAAACTTGTCATACAATGTTAATTGTGTTTCAATGAAGTCAGACAGACTGGGACCCCCAGTATAATGTCCCCATGGCTTATTGATCAGTCCTTGATGACCGGCCAAATTTGGCAAGATTCCGCTTTAATTGCACGCTTGTCATCAATAAGGAAAAGCTTATTTAGATGAACTACAGTACGTCTTTGAATGATATGGAATGCTAATTTATGTGCTGCGTTTAATAATGTTTAATGTTTTATCAGGGGAGGGTTGTTTTGATGTTTTATGTTGTTTTTTATCGATGGCATTGAATTGTTGCCAACACTCTGAACCGCCCTGAGTCCCCTTCGGGGTTGAGAAGGGCGGTATACAAATCCCGCAAATAATAAATAACACAGGCATATGCAAACAAAGCATATGCCTCCATGTCAAAGCTATGAATGAATAAGAAGAAAACAATAACAACCCTAAAACATATGTGATAAACATTAATTCTAGATCTTTTCCTGCTGTTACTATTCCTATAAACTCTTTGTTGACTGAAACCAGTTAAGAGTTGTCTGTAGTGACCTTCTGGTTTAGTTCTCCAGGACTTCAGAATAACATATCACATATTATTGATGTAGCAGTGAAAAAGCACAAATGTTCCCCAATACTCAAGCTGTTCCACACTTCCCTCTATTTACAGTGACATAGAATGAAGAAAAACAAAACAACACATATAAGAAATGAAAAGACCCAGATGTGGCTGTTTATGGAACAGGACTGTAGAAGATTTAGAAAGCAAATTGCTTGCTAAGAGTTTTGGCAGCAACTAAAGAAAAAAAAAAACCTCCTGTCTGCCTGGTTATAGAAAAAGTGACTCAAACGCTGATGCCTCCCTCAGTGTGGTTGGTACTGCTGAGAACAAAGAAAAGAGAACAAATGCTGTAGAGCAAATGTAGGTAACTTGGTGTCCTTGGATAGCTCTCACAATGTCTGTCTAGGATGACTGGCAATGCCTTCCTTTGCTCTTCCTATGAGTTTTCTATGAAGAATAATCAGATAAGAAGATGTAACATCCTATTCCAATTGTCTCTATCTCTCTAGTCTGTACTTTGTGGTTAGAAAACTGTGCTAAGCATAAAATGCGGTGACTGTATGAACACATACCTCTTCAATGGTTTCGTCCTGTGGTGTAGCGGCACTGTCGTCTGAATCCTTCTGAGAGCCAGTGTCAGCGCTTTTGCGGACTTCTCGACTCTTCTTATGTTTGTGGGCCAGTTTCTTCACGTGGCCATCTGCTTTTCCACTGCTGAGTCGCCTCACTGGGCTAGTGAGCCATTTCCTCAGCGTGTTGCCAGGGCGCTTTGGACCCGGGGAACTCTGTGCCCCAATCATATGGGGCTGGAGTGATGTCACTGAGGCCGGAGGGCTGGCATCGTTGCTGGAAACTGAGAGTGAATCTGAAAATGCAAAAAGAGCAACGTTTTCAGTAAAAGGAAAGCATTTAAGGGCAAATAAGAGCTCTCATTAGCAATTGTGATGCCTAGATAGAAAACAAGTGAGGAAAACTATAAGTTAATGCTGTCACAGGGAGCAACAATGACACTAACACCAATTCTTTAGTGATAGTGGACATTGCCCATGATCTTCCCAATGTAAGCAGTCAAGCATGAATTCACACTGTAGCAATGATGCCAGCCAATAGTGTTAAGTCCTCTTGTATGGCTTGAAACAGAATACTATTTTATGTTCCACTTTGTTATCTCTTTGTTACTTCCACTGGATTGACGCTTCTCTCACTGCAACTTCAGCTAGCTACTTTGAGGCTTAGACGGATCATAGATACAGTACCTACAGTATATGGTGACACTACAGTGGGCCCTCAGTAGCCACTGTTTTTTGGTTCCAGCACCCCCTGTGGCTACCAAAATCTACAGATATTCAAATCTCACTATATAAAAAGACATAGTAAAATGGCACCCCTTATATAAAAAGGAGAAACCAAAGTTTGGGTTTTGCTATTTTGTTTTTTATATTTTTAAACTGTGATTGGTTGAATCCATTAATACTGAATCCGTTGATATGGAGCATCAACTGTACGGTGTCCCAAGCAGATGTGGCATTGACACTCTGTGTACCATCACTTTACATGAAGATACTGGAGCACGAACCTCATCCATGACCAACAAGTAAACACGTGTAAACTAGCAGAGACTAATTCTAAATAATAAAGTCATTTCTGTACCTATGCCAATTCACCTGTTACTATATACCAGCCTAGCCGTCTCCTGCCACACGTTGCTGTGACCCAGTCTGTGCATATGTGTTTTGTGTATGTATATGTGTGTATATGTGTATATACTCGAGTATAAGCCTAGTTTTTCAGCCCTTTTTTTTAGGCTGAAAAAGCTCCCCTCGGCTTATACTTGAGTCAAAGTTATTTATTATTTTACTCTATTATTATTATTATTATTATTATTATTATTATTATTATTATTACATTTATAGGTTAACTTTATTATTTTTATTTGTATTACATTTATTATTTTACTCTATTATTATTAGAAGGATACATAAACACATGTACATTGAAGAAGGTTAGAATAATGTCAGAGTTGGATAGTCTTATCTTACAAATTTATGTAAATATTAATAAACATTTTACGTACTGATGCTTCAATTAATATAATTTTATTGGTATCTATTTTTATTTTGAAATTTACCAGTAGTGGCTGCATTTCCCACCCTCGGCTTATACTCGAGTCAATAAGTTTTCCCAGTTTTTGTGGTAAAATTAGATGCATCGGCTTATATTCAGGTCGGCTTATACTCGTGTATATACGGTATATGGTTTTGCTCATGCATTGTAATGTATTCTTTTTTTGGCTTTTAAAATATCTTCTGCTGTGTTTTTCATTGTTTTTATGAGTGATAGTCACTTGATGGCCTGATAGATGTATTGTGTCCAAATTTGGTGCCAATTTGTCCAGTGGTTTTTGCGTTATGTTAATCCCACAAACTATATTTTTACTTATATAGATGAAGTCATCTTACATGATACGTGGCCCTGAGTAGGCTATTGTTACACCACAATGCAGATGGCACATCATTAATGCATACAGTACCATGCCTCCGAGAGCACGAACTATGCAACAAAAAGCAAAATAGTGAGGCCTTGTTCTAACTCAGGTGGTAATGATTCTCCCACTTTAGATTCCAGATGGTGACTCAAATGACCCATGCCTCCCTCCCTTAACACCCTATCATTTCCTAGACACAGAAGCACCATAGGAGAGAGGAGGGTTCTTGCCACAATATGTGACATGTGATCATTTGTATTCCAGGATCAACCTTGATATTTCTGTTCTCCAAATTCTGTTCGCTGTATAAGTTAGGTAAAAAATGCATGGTGGCATAATTCAATCTTCAATTTTAAACCTCTTTTGTACAATTTATATATGGTGTACAAGTGACAGTGAAAGCTATGAAGCTATAAAGAGCAGCTAATCTCTACACAACCCAATAAAAATTGCTGTTGTCCCCTCCACTGTCTGCTGAGATTGCAACTAGCATTGTAATCCCTCAATTTCCAACCATAATCCTCATAATCTAAAGAGCAAGCATTTGGTAGGTTTCTTAAAAATATTAATTAGCATTTTAGACATGAATAATATCCAAAATAATGCCCACAGAAGCTATCCTTTTTTTGGAGGAGGAGGTGAGGTCGGGAATGATGAGAAGGTCAGTGATGACTCCTTCAATTTAGAAAATGTGAATTGATTATATAGTTATTGCTACACATGAGTCCCATGAATTTTCATGAAGATCCTGGCTATTCTCTCATTTCCCATTTAGAAGATGATAAGCATTTACTGCTCTTGTTAAGTCTTCAAATGGAGCTCATATCCATCTAAGCTTAGTCAAAGATATTGTCCAAGTTCATAAAACTAGTCATAAATACAGGCGCCAGATGAGCCTTTGGGACTCTCTAACCCTTTTATCAGATTACTCAAGGGTTCACTTTTGTTTAGACTATCTAGAAACCCTCTGAGAGATAATTTATTGCTCTCTTCTCAAGCCTGAAGTACAGCTCCATATGTGCCTCTGCTAATGGAGGTCGAAGTTCATATGAAGTCCACAATTTTAAAAAAATCAAGTGAAAGTATAATAGATGTGTAATGATTAAAATGAGCAATAAATTATTTCCAACCAAGCAACTGACACTATTAAATCGCTTGACACAAAACTAAGAAACCTAAAGTTGGGTTTTGTTTTAAACTTAACCGTATCTGTCTCTTAATAAATGAAAGATATCTAGCTCAGATTGTCTTGTTCAGCTCCAGATGACATAATTTTAAAGATACAGCTATCCAGAATATATATTTCCTTCCATTGAAATATATCAGCAAATGAAACAGACTTTCTGACTTTCCCACCATTTCTTTCCCAGCCAAATACAGTACACATATACACTGATTCATATAGGTTAGCGTTGTCATTCATGCTATTGTAGCATAATTATCTACTATTGGAAATTCATTTAACATTAATAGCTGAAGAAGCAACTTGCTACTCAAAGAAAAGAAATGCAATCCAATTCTCCCAATGCCAATAATCACCTACATGAAAACTCCCTTCCCTGTGTTTGATAACCCTGTTATAAAAGTATGCTACAGAATAGCAAAATACATAAAAGATATTATCACCTTGTTAGGACTAATCCTTAATGTTACATCACTATCCCTTCTAAAAGTCATGAACACATGCCAGCATCTTCTACAATGAAGGTACAAATAAACACTTTTTGACAGTGTGGAGATTTACTTTAGCTTTAAGTATGTTTTAAAGCTGAAATAAATTACCTCTTAGGGGGATTTTTACATTCCGTTAAAGCACAATCATAAACCGTTTTCCATGGAATAATGTAATACATTGATGTGACAAATATGTTTACAAAGATATGTTGTTATATACTTGTGAAGAAATGGTAATTGGTTGCAGGCCAGTTTTCCTGAACAGTCAGTCTTTCGTACACTCAGGTTCTGCAGTCACAAATTCAACCAACCACAGCTCAAGAATATTTTTAAAAATCCAAACAAACAAAAAAACCCCAAAAACCAAAACCCTGATTTTCCCATGCACATAGTACTACATTGATGTTTAGGCATACTTTCCTGTATCTTTTTCCCATTTCATTAATCCTCAGTCCCTCTCTAGGAATTGCTTCAGTTATTTGCTATTTTATATAAGGTTTTTTTTCCCGTGTCAGGAGCGACTTGAGAAACTGCAAGTCGCTTCTGGTGTGAGAGAATTGGCCATCTGCAGGGACATTGCCCAGGGGACACCTGGGTTTTTACCATCCTGTGGGAGGCTTCTCTCATGTCCCCACATAGGAAGTTGGAGTTGACAGACAGGAGCTTACCCCGTTATCCGGATTTGAACCGCCGATTTTTCAATCAGCAGTTCAGATGGCACAAGGATTTAACCCATTGCGCCATCGGGAGATCTTTTATATAAGGTACACCATGTGTAATGGGATAAGAATCCACAGATTTTAGTATCTACATGAGATCCTGGAAACAAACCCCAACAGATACCAAGGTCTCACTACATTTCTATAGTAATCAATTTCTGCCAATAAAATGCTACAGTCAGCACTTGCAGTTAAAACTCATACAGATGTCACGTTACTCAAATTTGAAAAAAAAATACATCTAATGCTGTGTTTGCCATAATCCAGCTGTCCTTAAACTAGATGCTATCCAGATAACTGGACTATAATTTCCATTTACTTAATGGTCTAGCAGAGATGATGGAAACAATATTTCAGAGGGCAGGAGGTCGAGAAAGGCTTCCCTAACCAATATAATATTAGAAGTCAAGATGTTCGTATCACTTTCTTTGAAAACATGCTCCTTTTTTTCCACTGAGAAGGTATTCAATTTACATTCTTGAGTGATGTGTCTATTAGGTTTTCCTTTATAGCTCAAATAGGATACAGATTCAAGCTTCTTTCTCAGATAAACAGAAAGAATTCTGTTTCAAAACTTTACCATGTAGACTACAGAAACATACAAGATCTGGGTTGTTGTTAGTTTTCCGGTATGTATGGCCATGTTCCAGAAGCATGGTCATACAGCCCAGAAAACTCTTAGTAACCCAGTGATTCCAGCCATGAAAGTCTAAACAAAACCTAAGTTCCAGGATTGTGCTGGAAGGGATGGCACGACACAAATGCAAAACAAAAACCTATTTAGTAACTCAGACATTATATTCCACAGACAATTTACGATCTTTACCATGTTGCTGATAAAAAGGGAGGTTATATGCTCAGTTTGCATTAGAGACGGGACTGCCTGAAAACCCCCCCAGAAAAGTTGGGAAAAAACCCAGGTTTTTCCCCCTGAAGTCATTTTTCCCTGGAAAATCAGGGAAACAAGCGTATAGAAACAAATAAACA